GTTGTTTTTTATTGAACGTCGAGTCATTTTAATTTTGGAAATAAATAAATAAAATCTGCTTATCGTTCCATTCATCTCAGCAGATCAAGAATGAGAAGAATTCTAAGCATTTCAAACTCCCGTATCGCGGCGTTACATTGCTTGGCTAACTCGTCAAATAAAGTTTGGAAAATTCGAATTTCAAATTACACTAAACAACTATTCGAGATGTTTTGGAGAAAATAATTGTATAAAAATTGCCGGAAGAACCCACGCCAAATTACACAAAACTACTAATATTTTTCAAAAAAATGAACATTATATTTGAAGATGTTTTTCACGAAGAAAAATATTTATATTTTCAATATGTAATTGCAGGACAACGCAGAAAAAAATTGAACTGTGCAATACTCGAAAATTCTGAGTTCCATGAAAAGGCGACCAATGCAATTTCTTTAAGCGTCATTCCTCTATTCGAGAAGAAAATTTTGAGCCATGTTTGAAAAAAAACAACAAAATGGATAATGTTGAATCTTCATATAAAGTACCTCCAAAAATCAAAATATCCGTTTCAAATTCAACAGACTGCGCGACATTAGATCGATTGGGGAAATATCAATTTTACTGAAAATCCTGCTTACTGTTTGTCCGGTAGCGTTATTCACAGACACATGTTTTGCCACAATCCATTTTTAGGTATCAAATTCCTACAAAACGTGGATTCTGACAATACAATGTATTATAGGAAGTAATTACAAATAGGAACAATATTTGCCCGCTTTCTCCTTACCAGGGCCCGGCCATAAGATTATATGTCGAAATATCGCCATTTTCCTTGCAGCATTTCAATACTTCCCATATAATGAGAAAGCAATGAGAAAGTAAAAATAAATAAAATTCATGGGGCATAGAATAAAACTATTTAAATCATAACTAGCCTATTGCATATGGGCAGTAAAGACCTGCTATTTCTTTCCTGGAATTTACGTTTTCCCAGCATTTCCGTTGATTTTTATCGGTTCTTTCAATTCCTCTACGTTCATAATTAAAAATGATTCCCCCTTTTGCGCTTTCGAAATAAAAATGTCCTGCCGTTAATCCCTGTTTGTGATCAGAGACAACCAGAATTACTCACCACCGTTCTGGGCTAGGTGTAATCGTTATAAATTCCACTAACAGCGTAAGTAAGTGGATCTGCGCGAACATTTCGCACTTAGAGAACATTGTTTAATTAGTGGTGCTACAGAATGGCAAAAACTTGCTCGTACTAGTTAGGCGACGATCTGAACAAAGAAAATACTTGTATACAGAATTTTAAACCCAATCGTGATTTTTTATCTTACATACTTTCTACATTTCTTACACATTTTGGAAAAATAAATAGTACATGTAAATATTTTGCTTTTTTATTACATACATTTCGTTCCCTATTCATCACTGTGACTGATTTTTAAGGTGGACTTGATGGCAAGTACCGAATTTATTCGATTTCACGCATTAAAACAACAAAACCACATATAATACTCCCGGAAAAAGGACTAACTTCTCAAAATATTTACATTTTTGAATCAAGATGATGAATTATTACTTGCAAGCTTAATTCCTACTATTCACTATCTAATTATACTTCATCCAATAATCTACTGAAAAAAACTTTTAAATTTCTTTTATCATTCTTCAAATTATCATCATCATCATCTTCCTCTTCTTCTTCTTCCCTAGGATTTCTGGGTTTTCTTTCTTTTTTGCCAGCAAAGCTATTTTTTCAGAAGGAATATTTAATTTGTTTTGGCATGTAATCCTATTTTCATAATCACTGTAACTAATTGCTGTAGTCAATTGCTATACCGAAAATGCATTTCAAATTATTCTGCCTATTGCTTTTGTTTGTCCAATGCTATCGATCATATTTGTATATTTTATTTCTACTTATGACCTCCCATCCTCCCATACGAACCCAATAGTTATCCTTGTATATGACATTTCAAAGACAATTTTTTGTCTTTGCAAATGGAGTGGAATCAAAGTGGCTGCAAACAAAGCATTAAAATGATTGTCAGGAATGTCGAATTTTTGTGTAATAAGCCCAAAATCCTCTAAAACTATAATTACAAATAATTTTCGCATTAATATTGCTACCATGTAGCATACAATCCACATGCTGAAAAAATCTTGTAAATACACTATTCATTTCAATGAGTGATCCAAAATATTTTGTAAAGGAAAGAAGTTCCACAACTATGTCATTTGTAGTATTGGTCTATACGTAGATTCTCTACATTTAGACTTACAATTCCAAACTGTCTTGTAGTCGGGATAGATACTGCATTGTGCTGCAAATATTGTTGCTTTGAAAAAAATATTGTCTAAACTAAATTCTTCATATACTCAAATACTGATGATTATTTAAATTGTTTTCTAAAATAAGATTCAAAACTTTTTCACCAAAAATATTTTTCTCTTGAAACACAGTCTCTTCACTTTTTTTGTTGATAGTCTACATTCTTGTAAAACTACTGTTTTCTCACTTCCTTTCATAATGTGCTGCAATACTTGTCGCTTGCACAATTAAACTAGACTCCTTTTGTGTGACCCCTGGAAAGGTTCTAATTGATATTTCGCGAAACATAAGATGATGTTGACCAGATGATGAAAATGATGGCATTCATTTTATCTTGATCATGAAGTTGACCTTGAGACAAAACAACATTTTTCTGAAAAAAATTTTATCTATGTTTATCATTATACCACCTTTATTCCAAAATTTTGGTATAAATGGCAAATTTTGTAAAAACAGTTAACTTAATACTTCACATTGTAGAGCATAGAGAGTTCATTTATATCAGGTAAATCAGTAATAGTCAAAACAATTGTGATTTTCTAGTTATATATGCACAATTCAGATTTAGAATGTTTAATATTAGCTACATGAACACAGAAAAACAAATTAAAGAATTAAATTTAGTTTAGTAAATAAATATGAGTAACAATCAATGTTTTCTAGCAAAATATGCTCAATAACTAGCAATTTTCAGAAACACAATTTTTATTAAGAAAGTAATGCAAAATAAGCAAAATATGCTTGACAAAATCACGTTTAAATATGTGGAAAATAGGTGTTTTATGCCCACACCAAGTTAACATACTTAGTTATGCTATAACCAAGTTAATGACAGGGGGAAACTATTGTACTGAAATCTGGTTCCTAGTAATAATGCAGATTGGTCTGCAATTCTGCAATGACCAAAGGTTCTTTATCAAATGATTGTCTTTATAAAGTGATGTTTTTCTCACAAGCATGTATACTTGGTAGTTACTACTACTTTTACTTTCTACTTTGATATTGTAGCATTTGTTTTTTGTGAATGTTTTAAAAAAGCTCTATTGTTCATTTAATAAATGGTTTCAATGACAAGGACTTTGTATTCTAGAAAGAAAAAACAGAAGAATTTGTATATTTTCAAGTGCAAGGCATATAAAGCCCAATGATTTTTCATTTAGAATTATTATCAGTAATAAACATAGAGAATTCATGTTCTGTATTTTTATATTAAAGCAAAACTAATTCCCCACCATTTGCACTTTCCCACAATTTATTCCATTTTTCCTCAGCCTCTTAAAAAGTGTAATAGAGGGATTTTACTCAAATTTCAAATCCCTTCAAAGCCTTAAAATGATGATTTAAGGAACTAACTTGTTTTTTCCATCTTCTTCTTGGACCAGGCAGTAGTAGTATCATCAGCCCAATATAAAAGTTCCTCGCCTTCAGCTACATCCAACATTGTAATAAAATAAAGTTCACCATTGCGAGCTATTGGAACCATGTTACGGCGTTCTCGAGCAGGTGCTGGGCGAACATAGCGCAACCAGTTTGAGGTATTTGGATCCATAGTGCTGATGTAGCGCCTATCTTTATCAGAAAAAACCTGGAACAGGTATATAAATTTAATGGCCAGAAAAATGCAGGGTTTCATCCACCTTTACACAAAACCTTATTTATAAATCAAAGCAAGCAGGAGTATTAATTAGTAAACTATACTATTTCATATTTGAAGAAAAACATGAGAATTGCAGAACATATTTCAAGTAAAACTTTAATAGACTGAAAAAAGTGCTATACTTTTGATTGTGAGAAGATTTTATGAGATTAATACTTGAGCTGTATGGAGTCCATCCTTTAAGTGTTTTTGCTTAATTAAATCTGTAAATAACTGAAGTCACGACAATAGTTGCATTTTCCCTTCTATTACTTCAAATCAGTTTACAAACATGGGTGAATTTCTCAATGTTTAATTGTTTTATGTTTGAGCAATGTAAGCAGAAACTATTCTATAATATTGGTGTCTCGCAGAGTTTTCTACAACAATGTCAAAATTTGAAAATTCACCAATATCGCAAACAGATTCCTTCCTTCTCTTTGATTCATAAGGATCAAATTCTGGATCGATCAACTCAAAGCAAACGCGGATTCATGCATATGACAAAACATTTGAGAATTACATACTGAATAATTCTCAAGCAAAACAACCAATTATTACTGATGGTCTACATTCACAAACGGATTTCTTTCATAGTTTGTCAATACGTTATTACCAGTATTGTAGTTAGTTCCCAAAATTTCATGAGAAAGAGCGTACAGAGAATATGTGTTAAAACCAGAATTTATTATTTTAATCCAAAATACACTAGCAAATTAACAAAAAATGTGAATTCTAAATTAAAATAGTGCCTCACAGGACTGCCATTATGTGAAAACCATTTCTAAAAATTTTAACATGTACATGTGTATACAAAACTTAATAAAATTAATTTCTTATTAACAACTGCTTAATAATATTAGGAACTAAATAAGGATTCTGTGAAGTAGTAGAGATTAAAAACTAAAATCCATCATTTATTTTGAAGATTGAAAATGCAAAAATTATCGATTCTTTTAATTGCAATTTGTATTTATTGTATTCAATATTCAAGGTAACAACTTATTTTGTGGAACAAATTTCCCTCACTTTTCCTAGTTATCCAGAGTATTTTTTCACTCCTAAGTTTTTCTAGAAATTTACACTAAAAAAAACAACTACACACACACACACACACCTTATAATAATTTGTCTCTGCTTTCACTGTGATAAAGGAAAAAGAAAAATTAAACTACCTTTATGTTACACTTCTGTTTATCATGATGTAGGGCATCTAATGCAATTATCTCTATTTGTGTTCTATAAATTCATTCATTAACTCAGTATTAGCAATCATACAATTTCTATTTAAATAAATATTAATTCTATTAATTATTAATTGTATTCTAATGATTATCACTTGTGAATGAATCTAACTAACTGAGCCCCTGCACATACATTACACAGATGGACAGACTAAGAAAGTTACAACTGAAAAGTACTACATACATGCTACAGGGAAAATTATAGACCTCAAAAATAATGTTTCACACAAATTGCACTTATTTATATAAAATCACAAACCTTTGAATTAAAAACCTTCAGTATTTGAACTTAAAACACTCACTGTCTTTGCTTCACCAACTACAACCTCATGATACAAGGATATCCTTGCATTGTATTGTGTCGTACTGAAGATGGTCTTGAAAATGGCAGCAGATAAGCATGCATTATATTAATCGTAATATATTATTCAAATTTGGTGTTCTATCTCTAAAACAGGTTATTATGAGCAAGTTATAACAAATCTTGGGCCCACTAATTTTCATTTAAAGAAAAAATCACAAAATTAGGTTGAGTAGAAAACTCAAATTCATTTCTCAATAAAAACCCTTGGTGTTTTAAATATATTGATTTTTGATATTATAAGATGGGAAATGGCAGAAATTTACACCATATTCTCATTCCTAACTTTTTTACAAAATAATACAAGATAGAAAATAATAGAAATTTTGTGTGGATTTTTAGTGTTTGGAATCTAAAATATTCAGCTCTAGAAGCTGTGCACTGCAACAGCTCTTTACCTCAGAGGAAAATCATTCTTCCATGAAAGTTAATAAAGCCATTCTGCCTTAAATAAATGATGAATAGAGTCAAACGCAGTCAAGTATTTTTAAGGAAAATTTCTGTGAGTAAGTTTAGACAACAAATATTATTTATTCAGAAACTCCCAAAATATTACCTTCCTACTAATATTTTCTTTAAACTTAAAAAGTTTCATTAATTTGAACTCGTAAAACTGTTTTGAATTAACTGATAATCACATTTTTCATTAAAAATTTCAATTCAACAGATGCATTAAACTTTTCAAAATATTATTGAATAGTAAAATTGAGTTTATTACATACCTCCCATATATCCTTCATGTTGAAATCATCAGGAATATCCATTTCTTTAATTGGTTGCCCAATAAGAGGACCAAACTGAGTGTATTGCTTTATTCTAAACAATGTGACCACACTTGGACCGTGTTCTGCTTCACAAACTCTTAATTCCAATCCACTTGGCAAGGATGCCTCTGCGAATGTTGTATTGTTGATAGGTGACATTTGTTTATCATCAAGCTCTTGAATAACAGTCACAGAACCAATGTTATTTCTTTCATTGCTATGTGAATTAGAAGAATTTTGATAATTCACCTGTACCGGAATTTTTTGGTCACTTTCTAAACTTATCCTTCCACAAGGTTCTCTTACTTCTTCTGCAAGATTTTCTGACGTTTGAGATCTGTTGTTATCGAAACCATTATGACTTCCATCAAAATTCGAGACATCACCAGTACATCGTAGCACTGTCTCAGAGTTGACATTGGCATCATAACCACCATTCACACAATCCTCCACAAGTCTCTCCCCTTTGCACTCAACATTAGTCACAACCACTGTAGTCCGTTCACTTTTATTATCTTCTTTCACGTTTCTTAACTTGTCATTCCATTGTTTAAATATCACAGAGTCACAAACCACAGCCACAGGACTATGCAGGGGGCATGCATCTTGGATATGCCTAGAATTGCAATCACAGCAGAGCTTGATTTTGATGGCTACTCGCTGAAGAGGCTGCTGGGCCAGTTCATGGTATTGTGGCTGGTTTGTGTCCATGCACCTTGGTCCCTCATCCACAATTCCCCACTGTTCCACTTCCTCTTGCTTGCAAAGACGACTACTGACATCTGGAGGTTCCTCTGTTGGAGATTCCTGTGGTATCCCATCCTGAGGAGCTTTTCGGATATCATGATACCTCCTGTAATCATAGCAGTATTTAAGGAATTTTGATTAGTACAGAAATACTATCTCAGTCTGGCAATATAACTGTGAGAAAATCTCTCATGAAAATATTTCACATCTGATGTATTTGGTACACATTTAATTCATATTATTTAAGTACATGAAAAAAAGTAAAGTCACTGAGTATTTAAAGAAACACAAAAATAAAATTGAAAGCAATTATGCTTGAACACTTTCAATTACTAGAATAATTCCCTTTCAAAGCAACACAAACAATGTTTATTTTCGTTCAAATAAATTTTGGTAATGGAATGAAAATTAGTCATTCTTAACGCAAGGTTAATTTTCCAAAAGTAGACTTTTCCCCTCGTAAAGCAACATTATGGAAATATTAATTTCAACAAATCATTATCACTATTCAATAGAGCTTTTTGAACAACTACTTTATTAAAGTAAATAAATTAATTTCAACAAAGACAACATTACCAAATTAAAAAGACAGAAGCTTTGACAGAATTTTGCGATAATAAGCATGTGAAATGAGGCTAAATAAGTGCTACATTTAACTAACTAATGCGCTATTGCATGCCCTTTTGTCATTATTATTATAAAATTTTAAAAAGTCTTATATGATTCATTATCACTATGAAATAAACTCATTACAGAATAAGACAAACAATGAAATTGAAAGTTGAATTGATTACAATGTAATAATGATAAAGACTCCCTTGCCCTTTTTGAGATTGTAGTAGAATACAATAATCGAATCATGAAAGATAATAACTTGCAATCAATCCTATCTAAGGATAAAGGATTGAGATAGACTCTAGTAAAAACAATAATTTTATAATTGTTTTTTACCAATTATTTATATTTTTTTACACAAGGAAAAAATTTAATGTTTCTTAAATATACATACTTTTTTGTACTGTGCTCTCCATGTCGGTGCTTCTTTCGTTTATGTTTACTACTGTGCGAATGCTCCCCCTTACTTTTATTCCCCGATTCTGATGGCAATTCAGGATCATATTCTTCATGACTTCGTCGTTTCTTTCTTCGTTTCAACTTAACACGTTCCCCTACTTCAATGTGCACTGTTTCACCTTCCTGTTCACCTGAGCTGTTACTATTAATGGGATTTACATTCGATTCTTGAACCTCTACTGGAGACCCAACTGTTACGGAAGACTTCTCTTCTGTTAAATCAAGTGATGCATTTTCTTCTACAGGTACTTCTTCCTCTTCTGGCCATGTGGGTTTGCTTTCAGGACAAGATTCCAAAACAGTACTTTCTGTCTGTGTGTTCTCAACCTCCTCAACTGCATCTTTAGGCAATTCATTTTCTACCAAAATAGGCTTATCATTTTCTGACTGTACAATAGGAGGAATAATTTCATTTTCCTCTTTAACATTAAGAACATCCTCTTGTGGGACTGGTGTAACAGCTCTTGGAAGATCTTCAGTTTCTAATGTTTCTTGTTTTTCATCAATTAAACTAGTTTCTGACAGTACACTTTCAGAATCTTCTCTCTTCTCTTTTTTCTTCTTGTCTTTTTGATGCACTTTGTCCTTGTCATGTTTGAAATTGGCATCTGGAAGAACATTCCTTGCACTACGACGCACATGAATTTTGAGAGGGAGGGTCTGCTTTCTTGGGCTTCTACGCAACGGTCCTTCAGAGTGGGTTCCCGCTGGACGCCACTCACCATCATCACTAATTTCCTGCTGCACTGAGCTTGTACTAGAAATAATTAAAAATGAGATTACATAATTGAATTGCTATAGAAAATTTCTCTACCATGATACAAATGTAATATATAATTACAATAATAAATTAGATTCTCAGGGGAAAATATTTTACAATGTTGTTATTATTATTACAAACACAAATAGACAGGTTCACTCAAATGAGTACCTGTCATTAGTTTCCTCTTCAAAATCACCTGATGGCAAATCTTCATCTCTTGCCTCTGAGTCATTAACATTTCCTGAAGACTTGTCTTTCCTAAAATAAATAAATAAACAAGTATGTATATACACCTGTCACATTTCCGAAAATTTTATTTATGATTAATAAATAAATAAGATTTGGACAAAATGTCAATTGATTATACCAAAATGTATGTTAATTAAATTTATAACGAAAATCATTAAGAGATAAAATGTTTATGCTTAAAATAAAATGGCGGGAAATCTATTGATCGTCAGGCCTTGCAGCATCCCAACTCCTCTTATTCACAACCACACCCCCAACCCTCTCGTATTTGTCGATGACAGCTATACCATTCATGTTATTGAGCATTACACAATAGTAAGAACGATGCTTTAGCACAACACAGGTACATAAATCATTTATTTACCCTGAGAGCGGCTCCGCAAGGTCCAATAAATATGCCACAAAGTCTATATCACTCTGGTAGTCCAATTTCTTCTTCAAAATAATCCATCTCCGAGCGTTCCCTGCACCAATATAGATATTATTCACTATTCTTTTATCATCCGATTTACGTTTGATTGAATTTTGCTTCCAGCTTGTTCTTCGTATAACTTTGTTGTTTCTCGTACTTTTTTTGGGCATCACTACATTCTAATGTATCCAATTTAGCACAAAAACTTTAGAATCTGTTTGCTATAATATCCTATCCTCTTTATGCCCAGCCCTCCGAACATATCGATCCACAACATGGCGAATGAGCGACAAGCAGCAGACGATTCTATTAACGTCGGAAAAGGCGGGAAAATTGATATTCGTGAAACTTCGGAGTTATTCGTGGAAATTTGAAAACCGCGGGTGTTATACAACTCGATATTATATATTATCGATTTAAAATTCGATGTACGCAGTCCATTTGCGTTGGTTGGTCGATTTCTAGTCTCCTTGAATCTGATTGGCTGAGTTCGTCTCTTGCTCACTCATTACAAAGAGTGTTGTGTCCAGGTTCTGGGGCTCTTTCTTCCATGACTGCCATTTTCACAGGCCATATTGAATTGTGACCGGACTGGCGACTGCTCTGACATTGGCCAAGAACATACGTCTTCATCGTTGATAGCTTTTGCTTAATTTTAAATTATGGCTGCAAAGAGGATTACGAACATTAACATCGATTGGACTGCTCTAGCCGATCGTGTTCCTGAGGCGCAAAGACCTCTTTTGGCTGCATTTAAGGCTAAGTCCGATGGTTATCTTCGAAGGTACGAAAATAGAATATTATAACCAAAATGATTAATTTTCCTTCTGAAAAATATAAGTTATCAAATTCATTAGCATGTTGCAACGTTGACTTTACCTGCCATTCCAACATTTTTGTACTCTATTATATTTCATTATTAAGGATGATTGCGAATCCTCAACAACCCCCTAAAATTGATTGGAGTTATTACACTAGTCGAGTTCCAGTAAAAGGTATGGTAGCTGATTTCCAGAAACAGTACGATGCGTTGGCTATACCTTACCCTAAAGACACCTACACTTCATTAATTGATGCTCAGGAAAAGGAAGCTGTGAGTATGGCTTTTTATTGTGCCACTAAATTTTTGTTGCTGTCACAGTTTGTTTCATGTAATATTATCCAATTTTAGTTGAAGGAAATTGCGGAATTTGTTAAAGCATCAAATGCTCGTATTGCTTCTTATGAAGAGGAAGTGAAACGGCTAAAATCACTTGTGCCATTTGAAAATATGACCATGGAAGAATTTTTCCAAGCTTATCCCGAAAAGGTAAAATTTCCATTTCTTTGAATGACTTGTGTATGGTAAAATTACCTTATGATTTTATATATGTTAAATATGTATTGTATTTTGTTTTGTAGGGATTCGATCCCAAGAAACCCACATTCTGGCCACACATCCCTGAAGAACAGCCTGGTTACAAGGGAGGTCCTGAAGCTCCTGCCCATTAAGAAATTAATGACATTTAGTAATGGAATTGTTTCTTGTCTATGTTGGTATAAGTGCTAGGGTTCTCCTGTACAGATATTTTAGTTTCAATAAAATTTATTCTAAAACCTGGCTCTGAGAGTAGAATTTTAAAATAATTTTTGATGTTTTTCTCCATTTCTTGTAGAGACATGTTGTGATGGTCATTTTCCCAATTAAAGCAAGATGTTCTGAGGTATTTTACAGGAGTGTATAAAACTGATTCATTCAGTTTTCATTAGTGGTTTTAAAATTTATTTGTGAGAAATGTGAGCTTTTAACAGCGATTGTGAAGCATAACTGATTTTTAAATATATTTTAGAAATGAAGTCAGGTTTTCAAGTTGTACAAAAAACAAACAACAAATGCAGATTTAAATGAAAGTTGAAATTATTTCCTAATAGTGTCAACTTCAATTTTCTATATTAAAATTCTGCACTTATTTCCACCATCAAAGAATTTGAGACATTGGATGGAGTGCAAGATACTGATAAAATTTCAGTCCGTTGTTGATTCTTTTAGTTTTTTAAAAATATTGTTCATGTGATAAGCATATACTTAATTAAAACTGAAAGGTACTTAAAAAAACATCCTGATATTTCGTTAATTGATTATGGCAAGGGAGGTGGTTTTGCTGTCATTAAAGTTTTTGATTATGAGCTCAATGGTAAGTCCCTGTACATGGATGCAGACAAATATAACCCATCGAACCACTGCAAACTCCCAAAATATTCATAAATATTACAGGATATTATTTAGAGGTGGAAAATTGAAGTATATAAATGTCAAAGCATTTTATAAGATTTAACCCACTTCTACATATGTATCAGCAACCATACATCAAGAACATATGGTTTTCTTAAACCTCACAAAATAGATTGTTCTATTAGGTCTCTTTTGTCTGTTGTCATGCCTCACAATCATTTATGCATTTTTCTGAATTCTATTCTTAAATCGGTTCTCATTATTAATAAACAATATGTTTTTAAATTTTTTGACCATTAGTGTACTCTGTTCCTCCTAATCATGAAATATATCTGGATGATATTGTTGGTGATGGTGGGGCAAATCTGGACTCATCTTCAAGATTGCATATCTGTTTTCAAAATCATGCCTCATGTGATCATTTTTTGCAAGTCAGTAAATTTTATTCATCTTAAACCAAGGAAAAATAGTTACGAAAATTTTGTAAACAACTATTGCAGAACTTGGTATGATTCCTTAAATAAAATGGATACAAGTGGACTTTTGTTTTCTCGTATGCGTACATACACTTGTGTTTTTATTTCCTGGGGTGTGAGGCGACCTGTCTTCACGATGTAATATCCCACGGCCTTTAGTGTCTTTCTCGGTCGTGATGCTATTGTCGCATGATCGCGACCGTATCGAGCAGTTCTTGCGATAATGCTACATCTAGCGGCACGGCCGAGATGGACGCGAAATGCCCTGAGAAATTCTAGATTGATCCTCACGCGCCAAGAAATAAAAACTTAAGTAGTATAATACGTAGTATAGAAAAATATATGTAATACTTAGGAAAATCGATTTCGAGATTATAACGGAAATTCAGGTTTTGGGGTACCAGATACCAAAAAAGGGTGTTTTTCAAACGTCCGTCCGTAAACACAACTAGCGCCTAAGCCTATGGATTTTTTTACAAAATAGATATTCCCCGGTCGAACTGGCTCGGCTCGTAGCATCTCGATTTTGAAAAACATTCCTTCAAATTTGGAGTTACTTTACATGAAGCCCTAGGAACATTTTTAAAATTTTCTCAAAAATGGCTCCACATTTTTTTTAAATTTCTTGTAGGAATAGAGTAAAATACACTTGGTGACCTAAGTCGAATTTTCACGGTTTACTTTGAATTTTCAAAAATTTTAAAAGTTTGAATTATTTCCGGCGTACATAAACGTAATGTTTTTTAAAGTTCTCTCACGCCGTTAATATGTACATTTCCAGCAGTTTTAAACACTATAGTATTTGTGAGTTAAAGTACTTCAAATTACTTTTAATGAAGTTTTTCCTAAATATAAAAAGTGCTTGAAATTTCAAATTTACAGTAGCGCTTAAGCCCCACTTTCTTAAAAACGGCCCCAAATTTTTCAAAGAAAATTGCCATTTAGGACGAGGTTTAACTATCTGCAATATTCGTAAAATAATAATTCTGTCGACTATTGGGAAACCGAAAAATTAAGAACATTTCGAAAAAATGCGCTTTGGGCGGAAATAGATGGTAGCAGGCAAGAGTATGTGGCAAGTTCGAATAGCTAGCCGTGACCAAAGAAAATAGAAAACTAATACGAGAGTCTGTGGCATCACTAGTTCTTGCTTTCTTTGTTTGTCCGCATTGTTTCCGTTTTGCTTTCATAATACTTTTTTCCAGTGCCGAGTATTCTTCTTGAAAAGTATGTGTTTCGGTTTCATGTAGCAGCAGTTCTGTTAATCGGTCGCTGTTTCGCGACTGCAAAGCAATCTTTTTCAAAATAGAAATTTATCAAATATTATTGTCGAAATTCGATGGAGAGAAGAGTTTGGCGGACCTTAGCATTGCAGAGTAAAGTGACGAATTCGTTAAAAGCGATCGAGGGCGACGTAGATAAGTTCATCGAAGCGAAAGTCCGCAGGGTTCGACTCTGAATTTCGTGATTGATTGTGATTCATATAGATTCTTTCAGTTAGTTTTTAGCATGCTTCAATTAAACTTTTTTTTTTTACCGGGGGGTGGGGTGGTCTCAATTTAGTTACTGAACCGGGGACCTGTAAGGATTAGTTACGCCACTACAATTTTGTGGATCTTTAAGGGTTCATTTCGGTAAAAGCTAAGCCCAAAAATTACGTAGGTCACCAAATCAAATGTTTTATTCTGCCACCAGAGCTATCAAGTCGTGTCCCAATTGTATTGCAAGAAATGGCGTCAAATATTCATTAAAACTTGCCAAGCAAAATATATTGGAAATACGTTTCATAAAAAAGTTGACATTAAAATCATTGGGAATAACAAGTAATATTTTAAATTTGAGAAAACTTCCGTATATGAAAGATAGGACCAAAGAAGATTAACATGAAAGAAAAGGCATTAATCATTATCACCTTCTGTTATCAGTGCGGCATTAAAATGGGTTACAAGCAACAATTCGTATAGGATACACATTTTGCTAATTAGCACTGTTGATACCACTAGCAAAAAAGGGTAAATGAGAATTTAATTTTTTCCTGAAGGAGTTTCAAGATAGAATTTTGTACTTCGACATCAGATAATTAAATTCGACCATGGGTAAATGTAACTGAAATATGCTTTCAGAGGAATGATCAGTTCCGTTTTTTGTTAGCAGTAGATAGTATTTAAAAGTGACCCGTTATGTTTGGTAGATGGGTCTAAAAGTGAACACATGTCTTATTTTCAAAACATTTAAACCTCTTCATTTTTTGGCGCAATTCGCATTCACCTGGCACACAGAATTACAAAAGACTTGGTCCCTTGAAAATCACACTTACATACACTCTCGAAGGTTTCATCTTCGACTATGTTATAATTTTATGAATGATGGCCTAAATAATTGTATTCTTTACGAATTTTATGATGCCGAAACTTCATTTCACCAGAATCATTAATTATTCCTGCATTGTCCACACAAACATTATTCATTTCGTTTGTTACTTTCCTTAATTTGATTTAAATATGTAATTATTTCAATTATTTATTAGGATTATATAATTATTTAAAAATACATTGTATGGTATCACAAATACACTACAAAAATTATATATTTTAATAACAAATTTTTAATATTTAACATCATTTATGTTGGCCCCCTCCCAAATGATCGGCTGGATCTGCCCTTATTTACGGGTAGAAACCGCCTGACAATGAGCGATTATTCTGTGAACTTCACGCCGTATCGCAGCGTTCCTGTTGTTAGATTCCAACTTCATAACCAGAGGGGTCAAGTAGCTGAAAAGTGAATCTCAAATGATTGTACATAATTATTTTAAACAGTAAATTATAATTAAAACTATAATTATACTTAAATGAATTAAATTATAATAAAAAGTAAGATAAAGGGCGACAATACAGCGCGCCTACCCATCAAGTTAAATCTTATAAATTAGAATAGTCTCTAAGCCCTGAAAGAAACGCACAAATTAATAAACATTCCAAATTAATCGCCTGGGTATTACCTAAACGAAGCGTTGAAGGGTATTAAAAACTCAAAAAGAACACTCACAAGAAATCAATCGAAGTAAGGGAATATTCCTTTGAAAGGGTAAACTACATTAAATATCCTTGAACACTGACGCATGATAACTCTTTCACAGCTGAAATTAAGGCAATGATAAGTATGGCAAACAGAAGCTATTTTGGACTAAAATAACTTTTTGGCTCGCGGTCCCTACGACATAGGCTATAAAAGGTATGTCGTTACAACTTTGCTACAGTCTTAGTGAGTGGCAAATGCAATTCTTCCGCGTAGAGTCCTCGGGCCTTGACGATTATCCACGCGTCGCGCTCTGTGGGGATAATTCTGCCAGTAAACAACCGTGGGCATCGAAATGGCCCCGCGGAAGGAGCTCACTGCCAATGAGAAAGAGATAATTGTCAACTTAATACTTAAGGTCTTTTCCTTTCGACAAATAGGTCGAATAGTTAGCACAAGCAACTCCACTGTGCAGTACGTGGTAAGAAAGTTTGTGGAGGAAGGTTCAACGAAAAATCTGCTATGAAGGCCAGAGGAACGTAGGTTGAATGAATGCGAGGTACGATTTGTACTTCCAAGTTCGTAAAAAAACCCTTTCAGTAAACACGGACAGCCTGATCGGACATCTGGGCAATAGCTGCATCTTCGTTTACCTATACATGTCGCTCTTTTTATTTGTATTTCCACGCGAATTATGTTGAAGTTGACAATTACCTCTTTCTGGTTGGCCATTTCGATGCCCACTGTTGCCTACTGGCGGAATTATCCCCACAGAGCGCATAGAGGCCGCGGAAAACCGTCAGTGCAGAGTAATTCGACGCGGAAGAATTGCGTATTGCCACTCACTTCGGCTGTACGAATAGCAAAGTTGTGACGACAGATTTGTTTTATTCAATATTGATATTGTTAAACATACGTTCTTGTAATAATTGATTTGCTACTAATGCAATTCGTGCAAGATTTCAACAAAGACATTTAAAATTAATTTACAAGATATCCAATAGTGGTAGTATTGCGAAAGAAAAGTACAAAAGGGCAGTATGGAAAGAGCTTTCTTTTGCACTGGCCTTTTCTAAGTAATTAATATCGAAAATTTTCGACGCGGTTATGACCGCACGACGCAAAGTAAAGAGACAACGCGGAATGGTCACTGAAGCTAGACGCTTGAGACATTTTTTTTTTTTTGTAAATCGTAAGGGAATTCAATATATCGTTATCCACCGTTTGTCAGCTCAGAATAAAAAAAGTATTCCATTAGCTGATTATATAATACACAAGATATGCCATTCATGTTTGAACAGCCTTTTCTTTTATGTCAAAAACGGTTAAAAACTCAGTGTGACATGCGATGGGGAGAAGTTAATTTGAATTTATTTATTCTTCATACAATAAACACAGCTCGGTTTAAGAACAAAATCAATGTACCACTTACAAGAGTGTAAACTTGCTTTTTTTATAGAAAGTGCAGACTGTCGCCCCATGTTACCATTAAGGTATGGCTCAGGTACCATGTGGGGTAAGTTACACAAACTTACCTGAACACACAATATGAAATCATTTGCCGTTACCCTTATTTATATTGTACAGGCCAAATAATTTCTTACAAAGTCTTGCCAAAAATCATTCGTTGCTATCTGAATTTACATTTCAATTTAATATGTAGTTTAAGAGTAGGGCTTCAAGAAAACCTCCAGATAGCATATTTTTTTGTGTCAGTTTTTTGACGATAATTTATAAAGCTGCTTATGCAAATTTGGCAATATATGTGTATACAAATTGTCCGGATGGATTTGGTTACAAACTTGGATTGTTTGAAAATTTCAAAAATATCTTCCTGCATCTACGATCGAAGATAAAGATTTTTCATAATGAAATTGGTTTAAAAATAAATCTAAATACGGTGATGTACAATATTTTCAAAATGGTAGTTCTTACATGAAATAAAGGCTATGTGAAAAACAAAAATTTTTCTCAAAAACGATTCCAAGTTTTTATCTTTGGACTTTTTAACAGAGCAAATTACACTTATAAATATGGTGCTAGTCAGATCGATAATGGACTAAATTAATTATTGTTTTTTCAACAACTTTATGCAACTACAATATTTTAGCTAAGTATTGCTTCTTGTAATACTCTTGTATTGTACCTTCTTTCATTCCTTCTTCAAAATGAAGGTAGTTTTTGTGTAATTTTGAGTAAAAATGTGATATCCTATAAAAATTACATGAACGAGTTTCCCAAATCTTAAAACTTTTTAAATATTTCTATTATATGATTTTCATTATAACATCAGAATTTTCAAAAATTGCATATGTTGCAAAATTGCAACTTTCCTTTCAGTGTCAGGAAGGTAGTTTCACTGATGTCCTAGCTGTAGTAGTGGTCATGCAAACTGCTTGCTAAACCTCATTTGCAGTGCTAATTGCTGTATTTTTAAGGTTCAAGTAGCACTACAATATTAGGAATTAGACACAAATAATGCAAAAGTACTTGCTATTGTAGCACTAGTTTAGAAAATCTTGGTACATTATAAAATGAATTTTTTCTGGTTCCTTTAGAAGAATAAAAAGGAAAATGTACATCAATTGCTTTTATTCTATTCTTTAGACATTAACAATAAAAAACATACACTGGTTCCAAGAAGGCCACTTCCAAGAGTAAGTAAACCTGGTCTATTTCTTCAAGGCTTAATACTGTCAAGTAAAGCTGAATCAAAATAGTCTATGCAGGAAACAAACTGAAATAAAAATTTAACTCCAAGTGAGGCTATCTGAAAATAACACCACATTCATAACACACACACGCACACAAAAGTAAACATAAAAATTACAGTAACTAATTTTTTTTTTATAAATATTTGCTTTCCCATAAATTAAGTGAATTATGCAAGAATAAATAAAACAAAAATAAGTTTGATGATCACAGATCTCCATCTCGATTTCTTTTTTTATTTATAAAAAATGTTTAATGTTATTTTCAGAATTCCTCAAAACATATCACATCACTACTATACCTGACAACAACCATATAAGTTCTTGCACAGGCCACCCTCATTCCTGAACATGTAAAACAGATCTAGGGAGTTAGGCAGATTTACTGCGCTCATTTGACAATTATAACGAAGGAATATAAGCTTCATGACATACACTTACATGAACTCCAAAATAAGGAAATACAATTTACAAAGTGTATAATGATTTTCTATAAATATATTACATATACTGTCAATGCATTTCAGGAAGAACAAAAAGATTCCAAACATAACAGCAGTTTGACCCAATCTCTTTAAACTCCTAGAAGAAACTCATGTGACATACAAAATGGAAAATATTCAACTAACCTGGCTTAATTTTTACCAACATGGTAACCATAACCATTAATTGCTGGTTGTTGATACTGGTTATACCCCCCATAGGTGTTGAGACCATTACTTGGAACAGGCATTCCAGATGTATTGGATTGCTGATAGTATGAGGGTGGTGTTACTTTACTACTCAAAAGAGAGGGAGGATTGACATTACCCCCCAAGCCAGGTTGTTGAATTGATGGTGGAGTTGTGGTCTGGTTCGGCTGGGACTGACCTAATCCAGGCTGCATACCCAACAGTGATTGAGAACTACCCAATCCACCTCCACTGCCACTGTTGGCACCCTGTAGCAAACCAGTATTTCCTGAATTTCCACCCGTTGTGCCAGCACGCAAGAAACTAGCACTTAACGGAATGTCAGAGAATCTAGTGGATCTACCACTACCTAATCCACCTCCCAAGCCACTCCCCAATCCTCCACCCAGTCCACTGCCTCTGTCTTCTGATTTGTCACCCCAGCGGCTGCGGCCTCCCCTGTCACGATCACGATCACGCCCACGATCTCTGCCACCACGGTCTCGACCGCTGCTGCTGCCGCCACCACCACCGCCAGATCGGCCCCAACGACCGCGACCTGTGATGGGTACAAAGAGATCAATGAGGATCCAGAGAGTAATAGAATAGGGAGAGAATGAATTAATAAATGAAATGGAGAGATACTTTCAAAAATAAGGATTTAGAAAGAGACATGAAAGCAAGGAGGGAAAGGAAAGGGTGAGTCAGGGGGAAGAGAGAAAATATTTTTAAAATATTGTACTTACTTCTGCCTCCAAAATTCATAGTCTTTGCCATTTGTGCCATTTCATGTAGCTTAGGATTCACCACTTGATTTGCTTCTTGTAGAACTGATATCAAGTCACCTGCCTGCTTGGCATTAGCAGGAGTGAAAAATGCATATGCTGTTCCTGTTCTTTGAGAACGCCCAGTTCGTCCTATTCGGTGCACATAATCCTCAGAACTTTGAGGATAATCAAAGTTGATAACAAACTTGACATCTTCGACATCTGAAGAAAAGTTAATGTATTTTAGACAATTAAATGAGATTCATTTTTTGCTGGGCATACAAGTGAAACTAAAATAAAATAAAATTGAAAAACAGCAAGACAATTTAATCTGAAGTCTTAATTATCAAAAGAAAAAATATTAACTTCTAAATTCTGCTTTCATAGATTTTGTTTACTGGATATCCACAAACAAAACAGTGGAAATGTGCAAAAAATAATTCTGACAGACACAAACAATCCTATGATTACTTATCAGAATTTAGAAACAGCAGGCATTCACAACATGACTATGCCTAGTCATTAGCAACAGAGCAAATGAACCAACAGGCAATACCACAGCAAATCCAAAAATCCTGTTTTAAAAAATATTCACATAAAACAAACAAAAATAGAAGAGGTTACAACAAAATAATTTTAAGAAAATATAAATCAAACTGCCAAACCAGCTTTGCCAAAACATACTCACCACTCTCTCTTGGATAAGTATACCATTTTACTATCAAATACTGGCAAAACTAAGCTCAAAGATGCCAATAAATTACTTTTCTCTTGTTATCAAATGTAGAGTTTGTGCAACTTGCTTAGCTTGTGAATATTTCAGAGGAAAGGAGGAAAAGGTGACGTAGAGAACTAGATCACATATGGCAATATCGCTAAGACAAATTATTCTACAGTAATTCATAAGGTTTTCCCTCTTCATAATCATTTGGCATGCAGGTACTCTTCAACCTACCTGTGATTTTGCAATACAGCCAGAATTGCCCCAACCAACCAAGTATGCAATTCTTCCATTTGATAAGAATTATTCATTAGCATCTTCTTGATTAGTGTTTAACTGTATGTCTACCTTTTTTAAAAAAGTAATTACCTGTGCACTATCCAAAGTCTCATTTGCAGCCCAACCATCTGGTCTGAAATATCCAACATTTTGCACCCCTAACAGTCAGGACTGGGGGAGGGGGGAGAAACGAGTCCCCTGTGAGCCCAAGAGGGCCTTATAGCCAGGCCAGGGCCAGGGCGGGCTGGGGGAGGAAACCTTCGGTGCTCAGACAATCGTGGCATGAACTAAACGGCTTGTGGCTAACTCGCCCGTGGGCTTCGAGTGGCCGATGCCCTTGAGGAGTAACCAACCAATCAGAGGCACTGCCAGACAGATGTTTAATATCAGGTATGTTTGGTTTACTTTAAATTTATCTTGCATGTGCCTCTGAAAATAAACAAAACCAGACTGATTAGTTGACAAATATAAAATTGATGCCCATCAGATTAGAACATGTGAATTATGGTAGCATGTTAGGTCAACAAGGAGTACATTTGGGAGAACACTTAAAGAAAGTAAGAAGGAAAAAAAAAAGTTAAAAATCATACACAATCAAATTTTTAACCAATAATTCTCACTTTCAACAATAACTGTCACTCAGTGATTCATATTAATTGCCTGCAAAACTAGCAACAATTTTTTTCTAAGCTTCAAATGAATGTAAGCAAAATATTGGCCCAAAAATTTGACTGAGTATCAAATGTTTGTTATAATATTGTTGTGTGCTCTATCATTTAAACGATTCACTACATCCAAAAGACAAGGAAAATGTACAAAGAACATCTAATTTATCTTCCTGTATCTTCCTCATAAGTAATTCCAGTAGAAGTGATCAAAAGTAAGCTGTTTCTCCATCTGTTAAATTCTACAGTCTTGTCCTCCATGAATACCAGTTTGAAAAAAAAAGTTTACTACTTCCATTGCAACTATTCAAAGAACATTTCCTTGCTATTTTATTACAAATCATGAGTTTAATATTTTACAAAACAGTCTACCGTTAATCAAAACTGTTATATTTTTTGTTGAACATTTAATACAACGAAAAAGGTCTACAACTATTAACACTTTAATAACTTCATTACCACACACGTCTTGTATCTTCTGTTTGTCATTACTCCACGAAAATGGGAGGAATATTGTCATGATTTCCAGATCAATGCACATTTATCACTGATAAGTAAAATTATTTTTTTTAATATGTAGCATTACACGTACTACTTCTAGGTATGCGAGTGTGTGCCCAAAATTCTAAATAGGGGCACCTCCTGATGACAAATTGTAACGAACACAAGAACAAGTTTGCTAAGACAAGAATATGTAACAATTTCAATGCTGAAATATGACATCTTGAAATACATTTAGGCAGCACATCTGAATTCTGTATCAAGAAAAGGGCAGCAAACATTCTCCTGAATCATCAAATATTACCAGCTAGAAATAAGACCCCCATGAGAGATACTATCTTCTTCTGCCTCTTAGAAATGGGCACTTGGTGAGGGCACGTTCAGCAGCACAGGCAAAATGTTACACTAGCGGGCATCAGCTTTTCCTATTTTGTCAACCAGTCTGGCCACCACTGCCACAATCTCTTGACCACAAGTCCCCTCCACACCCTGTCTTGGCACAGAGCTCACAGTACAACACAACATTCACTTCAATCACGCGCTGGAACAGGGTTGGCACCTTCTCAGACACGAAACGATCCTCATGGGATGAGAGAAATGGTAACTCGCCAGTTCCTTTAACATTTCAAAGAGGATCACTAAGAATCCAACATGACAAACCATTCTCCAACCCTGTCACACATCATTCATTCATACCACACCCCTCCCCTCGTGAGACTCTAGATCCTAAGTATTATAGAGAGGTTCATTGACCCAAGATTATGAAGAACCAGCCCCATTTGCAACAAGGCTTATTACAGTTACAATAGAAAAAATGTACTGAATGCAAAGCTGATTTTTCACAAGAAAATATCATGTGCATCACTAGGCATAAAGCACAGTATTCTCTCAAACTTAAAGTACCCATTTACATCCAAATCATTCAATCTCAACTAACATATGTTCATTTTTGTTCATATCAGACTGATTTCAGATCGGTTATGAACTAATATGAACATAGTTATTCATGTTTATAAATACCACACGATTTTTTCCTAACATTTACATTAGGAATGCATCACAATGTATTCATACTCTGCTCCCAGCAATATTACATAAATGCAAAAATCTAAAAAGAGAAATTAAAAGCATTAACTTCATTATGGTTTCATGGATCAGCAAAGCTGTAGAAAAAAATGCTATAATACTGCTCATATTTTAAAATTTGCTTTTGTAATATTGAAGTTGCAAATTGTACATGAAACTTGTACACAAGCAACAAATGACCTACATATCCCATTCTTAAAATAGACCAAGGCTCAACTCTATTCTTACATACTTACCCAACCCTCTGGCAGCCACATCAGTTGCAACTAATATGGCTATTTTTCCATTACGAAATTCTGTGGAAAAAAATAATTTTATGAAGTCCTTCGCATCATAAATGGTTATTTCATTCAAAGTAGTATTAAAATTACCTGCAAGAACATAGTCTCTCTCTTGTTGAGACTTATCACCATGGATACTTTTTGCAGGCCATCTGCAAATATAAGATTCCTTTTTCTAATATTGTACACATTTTACAATGCTTTCATTTCATAAGAAGCGACTTTCAAAATGTTAATGGAAAACACCACCAAGCATTCAAATACAAAGCTCAGAGCATATTTCAGAAACAACCCAGCTGTAGTCATTAATATATTTCCAGAGTGCATTAATATTTCTAGAAACACTCAGTGAAAGAGAGGGAAATTTAACTAGAGCATTATTTTAGTTAAAACATTCATGATAGCTGGGAGATTTTGAAATAAAGTATTACAAATAATACATGCACATGCCTATTTTCAAATCTGCATTCTCACTTTTTCTGAACATATTTTTATCAATCTTTTTAAAAATGCAACAGGAAAACAAAATTCTTCAATTCTAGTTATTTTTATACACCAAGTGCATTACAAGGGATCTAATGATCGAGCAGCAACAAAAGCCTGAGGGCCTCATCAATAAATTAAGTTAATAAGTTTAAAGCGTTTATTTGGAAAACAAAATATAGAATTCAAATAGATTTTCTCTGAGTCAACTAATTTCTTCCCCTTTTCCTCTTCTTATAAAAGAGAAAAAAAATATTGGCAACAACTTAATAATATAATCTCTTAAAATTAAATGTGTACCATAACATAATAAATCTTTAGAACCAGTTAATGGCTGTGGTACACATTTTTTTTTCCACCTAATTTATGATTCAGATTTAATTATTTACTAATTAACTAATATTAATTTGACTCCTTTCATATTTGCATCCATAAGAGAATGTGTAGCATCAACATTTTACATATTTCCCTTCAAACCATGATTATCCTGATACAGGGAAATCAATATATAGTGTATATCAAGCTCCATATGGAGGGCAACTCAAGCAATAACGTTAACAGTAAAAATATAAATAAATTTGAACACTTGTAACAATATCTTCAGATTAAAAATTGCTCAACATTTCCAACACTTTATTTACATCAAAATTTTGTTTAACAACTAACCTAATTTAAATCTCCCTACAAGCAAAAAGAAAGAAAATACTCCAACTCCCCCCCCCCTAACAAACTTTTCTGAATTACTTCTAAGGATTTCAGTTGAGTTTCATGTAGATCTAATAAAATATTTAAAATCTCAAATTTTAAAAACCCTTTAAATGATCACCTCAAATTAAATAATCAATGAACACATCAAATGCAACCCTTCATATGATCACATGTTTCTCTATTCTTCAAAAAACATTTTTTTAACACAAAGTAAGTTATATTTATGCATCCGATTATACAGAAATATACATACCCATATCGACAAATACTTCTTGTAATCTCATCAACTTTTCTCTTGGTCTCTACAAATATAATAGTTTTATTTTCTTTTTCAGATGATATTTCTGTAAGAAGTTTTAACAATCTGCCAAAGATAACAAAGAGTAAAAACATTTTGCAAACAACTCTTCAATTAATTCACAAAAAAAATATTCAGAATCCTCACTTTGTTTCTTTTTCATATTCCTGGCACACATCAATAATTTGCAGGATATTGTGATTAGCAGCAAGCTGAAGAGAACCTATATTTATCTGAATATAATCACTCAGAAATTCCTCAGCCAAGTTACGAACTTCCTTTGGCCACGTTGCAGACCACATGAGCACTTGCCGATCAGGCTGAAAATGTTATATTTCTTTAATAAGCAAGATAAATCTCCATATTTGTTAAAACAATTTGTAGTCACCATTCCAACATTATATCATAAAATTACTCATATGAAAAGAGCCTAATGTTTATGTGTATACAGTGACTTTGTCAAGGGTAAAGATTAATCAATGAAAATTGAGTGTCTTGTTTAATGATTACAAGAAAATTATTTATGGTAATAAGATTTTGTTCAATATCTCGAATTGTGTACAGAAAGATCACAGAACAAAGAGCTGCGATACTTTCTGTGAATTAACAGGTTAGGTGATTAGAATTTCATTTCCTACTACATATATTCAATACATTACAATTATCAATGATTAATTCAAAATATCTCAAATGACAGTGGCAAATAAGAACACTTTTTCACAAAATTACCATGCAAAAATTACATAACTAACATTCACGAGATTGACCAGAATGTTCCCTTACTCTGATTTGTTCAATGATCTTGCGAATTTGAGGTTCAAAACCCATATCCAACATACGATCAGCTTCATCCAAAACCAAGTATGTGCAGCGACGCAAATTAGTTGTACCACGCTCCAAAAAATCAATTAATCGTCCTGGTGTAGCGATAACGATTTCTACACCTCGCTCTAGATCTCGAGCCTGAGGTCCTTTGGGGGCACCACCAAAAACACAAGTATTTCTAACTTGAGATGTGGCACCAAAATCAGCAGCAACTTGTTGTATCTGCTGAGCAAGTTCTCTTGTAGGTGCCAATACAAGGGCAATAGGACCATCACCTCTCATTAATCGAGGCTGATGGTTGATATGAACAATTGCAGGGAGGATGTACTAAAAAAACAAAAACAACCTTTCTCATACATTGTTTATCACATCCTTCAAAATATTTTCAGCACCATTAATAATCTCTTACAGCCAATGTTTTCCCTGATCCAGTTTGGGCAATTCCCACCATGTCTCTTCCACTTAATGCAATAGGCCACCCCTGGGCTTGAATAGCAGTTGGTTCATTAAAGCCTTGCCGTCTACAAAATCAAAAAGCATAAATATACCTAATATCCAAAAAGAACACATGAATAGGTAACTCATGTTCAACAAACCTTATTTCATTCATCACATAATCTGGGAAATTGCCCTCGTCAAAAAATAAATTTGGGTCAGGAACATTGTTTCCTTTGACAGTGATCTCCCTGCTTGCCCTAAAACGAGCAACCTCTTGGGGGGATCTACAAGAAGAAAGAGGCGTTGAGCAATAATACAAATATAAAATCACATATCAAGACATTTTATCCACAGCAAACCTTCTGAGAACGTTAGGGTGAGGAGCATAGAAATCTTTGCGAAATGGAAGAAGGGATGCCATATCCCATCTGGGTCTTCTAAGTCTTTCTCCTGGTTGTTTTCCTTTAAGACTACTACTTCCATACCCTCCATAACTGCCAAGTCCTCCACCAAGCCCACTACCCAGGCCTCCGCCTAGACCACTGCCAAGACCACCACTTCCAAAACTACCACGTCGACCATCACCGGAACGACCCCGATCGCGACTACGGTCTCGGTCACGAAACCTGAAAAGCAAGTCATAAAAATGACGAAAACTGGATACGTTTCTTTTATCATCACATTCTGTTGTAATTTTAAAGTCATTACACTCACATTTTAATAAATGTTCAAATGTGAAAAAAAGACTCGTCCTTGTGAGTTGGCAGATTGGCCGGAATGTCAATAGCGCAGATACTACAGGATCTGAAAATTGCACGCAAACAAAGTACATTAACAAATGATTCTTTTAATACATACAATATATCATTTTGACACGAGTGTATTCAAAGACAATACTGCAGATATTGTACAAACAAATTATTACAATAATAAACGCATAGAACTTCACCTGGAAACCGTCTGACAGCGCAAGACGAAACACAAGATGGCTACCGTTCTCTGACGTCATCAGCCGCTTTCCATAGAACGTAGTGATTTTACGAGATCGCTCATGTGATATGCAGAGAGTACCTACTGTTTGTCTATGGCGATGTGTCAGATGGAGTGAACATAAAATCGCGAAAACGTTAATTCATATGATATGGTAAAATATTAATATCTTTCAACATTCATATTAATAAACAAATAATTCGTAAAAAATAGATGTTATGGACATGTAATTAAAAAAATCATTTATTTATATTTTAAGCTCTCAGTAAAATAATTTTAATTAACGTGTTAGGCAATGGACATTCAAAGCGTAGCATTTTATTTTACATACAATATAATGGGGATTGTCTTTTTCCCACATATAAATTCTTTGGGAATCCGCTGAAGATTGCCATGGTAACTTGAGATGGCAGCAAAATAAGTATAACTGTAGTCATGTGCACGCAACTATACTTTTTTCGAGATTAGTGAATTTCAATGTTAGTCAGCCATGGAGGCAACTAAAGACGCTCTTGATCCTCAATCTAAAAAGAAAGATGGTAAAAAACAGTCAATTTCTGATCCAGCAAATACCTCCGCTGAGGTTCCTGCACAATCTAAACAGCATAAAAAGGGGCCTCAGATAAATTCTCTGATGGATGTGATCAACCATGCTCTCCATCAAACTGAAAGGGTGAGCTGGCGCCGATGATGCAAATAAAAATCGACTGCTTTTTGTGAACAATTATTTTAAAAAAATATTTTGGTCATTGTTTTTTCAGGCAACTTATCTTCATCGTTTGACGTACGTCGGACAACATAACTTCAAAGATTCTGGAGAAGGAAGCGATGAATTAGATTCTATATTTCAGATGTCGATAAACCAAGTTAACGAAAGTTATTGCAGCGAGCCACTCACGGGATGTTTTATTTATTACTCAAAATACTTCATGCATATCGTAGAGGTGGGTGTATGTTTGCCAATCTTACTAATGTAGGTACACTAATTTCATCAGTATGGACGTTCTTAATTATTGTAACTACCGGTTGCCTGTGACAACACTCATCGTTGTTTCCTTTATTCGATTTGATCAAAATGTTTGTATTTTCCGCAGCATAGGTGTGCGCAGGCTCAAAATATAGTGTGGCAACATCTCTAGGCCTCCTTTTTCATTACACGTTTTACTTTCCCGTATACGTACGTATATACGTAGTATAGGGAAAGTTATGTAGTGATGCAGAAAATCGATTTCGAGATTAAACGGAAATACACGTTTTGGGGCCCCCCAATACAGAAAAAGTGGTTCTTTTCAAAACGTTCCTCTATCCGTACGTATGTCCGTTTGTCAGTCTGTGAACAACATTAGCGCATAAACTATGCGTAGGATTTTTTTTCCATATTGAAAAAAAAAAGACTCTGTCCATTTACTTCGAGTCGAATCTTTGAGATTTTGAAACAAATCTTTAAAGTATAGGGGTACTTTACATGAAGACCCCGACCATTTCCACAATTTTCTCAAAAACGGCTCAAATTTTTTTCTTCAACATTTCCAACATAGTTCTAATTGCATTGTTTAAGATGACATAGAATTAATTTTGATTTATTCATTTGTTTGTTTGTTTTTAAAAAAATACATAAACTTTTTTTTGAAAGATATCTCACGTCGGTAATACGCACATTTCCAACGATTTGTAAACACTATTGCATTTGTACTTGAAATCACGTCATTTGAAGTAATTCGTAATCTCAATAGTTTTCTTTGAAAAGAGGTTCAATGTTTGAATTTACATTAGCGCTTAAATGATATTTTCCTACAAACGGCTCCTAATTTTTAAAAAAATGCTATTTAGTACGATGTTTTAATGTTTTTTAATATTCTTAAAATAATATTACCAATTTACTATTAGGAAGCCCAAAAATTAAGAAATTAAAAAAAAAAAAAAAAAACTGGGCGGCGTTAGATGGCACTTGGTAAGAGTGTGTGGCACGTTCGAATATGTAGACGAGACCAATAAAAATAGAACAGTAATAGGGAAAGTCTGTGCCATCCTGTAGCACCACTAAGTTTATTTACATATGAAATATTTTGGTCGAAAATTAAAAAGAAAATCTACAAAGAAAAAGAAAGTACAACTATAATAATACAATTAATTTGATTTTGTATTGAACTATTTACACATAGCTTGGAGAGCCTCTTCTCTAAATGCCGTTTAACAATTCCCTAAATTGTTGCGCTAGAAAGGGGAAAGGGTTGAATATATTTTCGGAAATAAAATGTTTAATTAAGGGTGCCCTTTCAAAACTTTCAATGAGGAAAGGGGAGCATCATGCCCCCTCGCGCCTCATGCCCCTATTCGCACGCCTATGATATTCAGATTGATTTATTGATTTTTACTTTCCAGTGTACGTACGTACATACGAAGTATTATACGTACAGTTTTGAGAAAGTTATGTAATGCTGTGGAAAAATCGATTTCGATATTTCAACGGAAATACGCATTTTGGGGTCTCCTGATTCCGATATTTTTTTGTTTTCAAAACGTCCGTCTGTTCGTCTGTCTTACCGTCCGTCCGTCTGTGAACACCACTAGCGCCTAAACCATACATTGGATCGTTTCGAAATTGAAGAAACTCCTGTCCATCTGGCTCGAGACGAAGCTTTGAGATTTTGAAAAAAGTCTTTAAAATTTAGGGGTATTTTACATGAAACTCCCCAGACATTTTCAATATTGTTTCAAAAACTGCTCCAAATTTTTTCCTTGAATTTCTTGTGAGAATAGAGTAAAATACAGTTATAAAAGTGGTATAGGTCTTATTTTCACGTTTATCTCTGAATTTTCGAAAATTTCAAAAATTTTCGGGCTTCTTCCTACAATTTTATAGTTTTCATACAACAATTGTATTAACATAATAACATATTAACAACGTAATTAAACATTAAAGAAATAGTAATTTCTTTAATTAAGGTCATGTACATTTTTTAAAAACTGTAGTAATTTTCGCTCAATATTGCGAGCAATAAATTCAGTTTCAAAATAAATTTCAAAAAAAGATTTTCTCAAAAGACGGCTCGAATTTTTTAAAAAAACGTGTCTGCTAATTACGTGTACTAAATGTGTGCTTCAGTGCTAAATGTACTCTTAAGATGGCTTAAACGCCATATTTCTCTATTCTTTTTTCTTCTAAAATTACAAAAATGCAATTTTTTGACTTGTCTCTCTCGTCGTAAATATTTATAATAGCGGCTATTTGTCTACATTATTGTATTTATGAGTACATGCGCTTTAAATAATTCAAAAAGTTTCTCTAAAACTCAACCATTGTTTGTGAAACTAGTTCAAAATTCGACATTTTCAGAACCGCTCAAAGACAATTTTTCTCAAAAATGGCTTAAAATTTTTCTTCATACTTTTCGAAAGGATAGTGCTAATTAATATGACTTAATATTGTACAAATGTAATTTTTTTGATGATCTCAAGCCGTTAATATGCACATTTCCAGCAATTTGTATACACTATTGTATTTGTAACTTGAAATTAAAGTTTTTGAAAACTCAAAAATTTTCTGTGAAAAAGAGCTTGAAATTTCGTATTTCCAGTAGCGCTTAAGTACCATTTTCTTAAAAACAGCTCCACTTTTCTTTAGAGAAAATTACAATTTGGGCGAGATTTTATTGTTCTTTTATATTCATAAAATACAATTTCCGTTCTACTATTAGGAAACCGAAAAATAAGAAAATGACAAAAAATTGTACATTGGGCCGCGATAGATGGCAGCTTTCGTACCACTTCCTTGTCCTATTCTCACCCCTTACATACACTAACATGCACTACATTTACGGAATAGTGATCTCGGTAGTAGATGCGGCCGGAATCATTAACGACCAACCTAGAGGAGCTTCGTTTTCGGAATTTGTAAACACATTGTACAGGTATTCTCTGATGCTCTGGTCAGAACTTCCTCTTTAATATCGTGGAGTAGAACATTGATTTGAGTAATTAATCCGTTCGAAAATGTCTCACATAAACCAAATGTACAAAAAGTGAACCAGTATTTTCCAAATGAAAGTGTGTAAATACAATTAATTGAAGTCACCCAAAACATTAAAAATACATTCATAATAACTCACTATCAAACATTTACGAGTTCGTCCTTGAATGCTGAATAACTTTCTTAACTGTCTGGCTCATGAAACTTTGAGCCTATTGCATGTCAGCAATCGCACATCCCGCGTGTCTACTACAAACTACAAACTATCGTGTCCATAACAAAGTCCTTACTACTGTATTCAGAATTGCATGGCGAACCATCTTTCATTCTCCTTCCCCTGGGCCCTTGTAAAAAAACTTCAACAGACATGCGCATGGGTACATATATTATAATTTTTGCATTCGATTATATTGATATATTTAGAAATATTTATATTCTTCAGCGCTCGAATATTCCCCAAGATTCTTTTCCGTCCGCTTTTCCGAGTTCGCGGTGTTTCAAAAGGTGACATAACACGTTGTGACATGCGTGTGATTTTAAATTTTGAAAATATATGTACATTAATTTGAAAAATTGAAAATGATAATATGCGATACAATTTATTTAAAAAAGGGATCAAATTACAATAAAAGTATAGGACGCATTGGACTTCATTGGCCACGTAGAGATTCATGGGCCTCAGAGCAGTGTACTGGGTGCACCCCCCTCCCTCCTCATCCGGAATCAGACGTCGAAAATAATTCTATTTCAAAAGCTTGGAAACATTTTTACCGGTTGAACCAGTGGCGGCTCGTGATTAGGTAGCACGGTTGCACAACCCTCAGATAATCGAAAAAGATCTTATAATATCTTTGGAATGCACATCTTCCTTTTAATGGCATTCATTATTCAAGATATTGCAGTATAGATGTACGGTATATGAAATCATTTTGAAACCAAAGAGCTATAACAGAAGTTATCTCTGGTGTTTGATATCTCCCCAGATATCACACCGCGTTCTTGGCTATATTACTGGGCTTTCTACATTTACTCTTTGGTCCTTCGCTTTAACACGGGGAACATGCGGCCTTTGGTGGCCCAACTAAATGGGGGGGGGGGCGAGCGCTGTAGAACGCTGCGCGGCGACCGACGGAAACTGAGTGATACTAATACTCTGCCTTTGTCTATCTGCAACTTAATAAATTATGAACTTCTCGATTGAATTACAAAGGTTCAGTCAATTATTGGCGGTATTTAATGCATTATTTATGATGTTCTGAGAAATTGTTTTCATGCGATATTAGATATATTGATTCAAAATATACACTTTAATTCTGTGTGTAAAGTTGGTCGTCCTGGAAGGAAGTTCCTTTCCGTTTTTCACAGTGAATTCATATTTCTGCCTGCAGCAGCGTGCAGTGCAGTTAGAGTCGGAAAGCGCTGGTGAGAATCCGAACGTGTGTATGGAAGGATCTTAATTACAAAATATACCAGGGTAGTGAAATTTTCGATTTTCGTGTTGAAGAAATAGTGCTTGTTGCGAAGTACTGAAGTCGAACTTAATTGCCCAGTGGAATTCAGAGCCAGAACCACGTGCGCGGATATTATATATATATACAATATATATATATATATATATATATATATACAATATATATATATATATATATATATATATATATATATATATATAAAATATGTAACAAATATTGCATACCTGCCGGAATTCGCTGCGTGCAGATTGGCGTCATCTGCCGGCGCCCCCCCCTCCCGCCCGAACTGGACGGCTCCAAACTATTCGCGAGTCGCGTGAAGGTGGAAGCAAGTGCTGGTTGTGTTGAGACGAGGCCGGGCAGGTATAAATGGCGCCGCTGCCGAGGCGGCGAGTCAGTAGCATCAGTCAGTAAGACGTTAGTGTATTGTAAATCAGTGAATAGCAGTCAGTCCGTCAGTGGTTGGTCCCGAAAAAGGTTGGAAAGCTGTGCTGTAATGTGCTTGCGGTGAACAGTGGTGCAGTTAGTGAACAGCAGTTCAGCGTCTGAAATCTGCAGTGGAGCTGAGCTTGAAAGTGTGCATCGTGGTAAACAGTGGTGCAGTGCACCCTGGTGGTGCGCCAGTGAAGTTGGGTCTGCGCATGAATTGTGGTCTTGCGGAGGAAATTGTGGTAGAGCAGTGGTACCGTCGACAGTGCATCGGACTGGGTGATACGTAGATGAGAGAACAGTTAAAATTAAAGTGTGTGTAAAGGAAGTGAAACTGTGTAAATAAATAATCAAGGAGAAACGGAGTCGTGTGTAAGAAAAAAGGAAGTGAAGAGCACAAGAACTGTAAAATATACCTGAATGTAGATCAAGTAGTTTTTAGTGTTAGTAGATTTTAGTGTATTATTGTTCACGAATAAACGTTTTGTGTAAATACCTGTGAGTTGGTTTTAATTCACCACGATAAATTTATAAATGACCTGCAAAAGTATAATAGAAGAAGACTACCTATTCCCCCCAAAACCCAATTTTTAATTTTTATAAGATATTGTGCCACGTGTAAAATAACGAGTTTACAAAAATCATTAACATCGGGTTAATAACATCTTGTTAGGTTAAATGATGTAAGCTTCCGCGGCCAGTCATGGTCTGGGCTGTCCGGGTGTCGCCGCGTTGAAGGACGAGGTGCCCACATTTCGACCAACATTTCGCGATCTTCTTCAGGGCTGCAGTGCTTCAGGTTACTATGTCCCTGAAGAAGACGATATGTTGGTCGAAACGTCAGTACCTCGGCCTTCGACACGGCGTCACCCGGAGAGTCCAGGTCATTGTGTTAGGTTATGTTCAATTGCTATTTCATATTAACTATTTAGATTTATTTAGTAAAAAATAGGAAAAACTGTATGTGACGTATGGGGGAGAAGATAATCTGCGATCTTTTTGTTGAGTTCCAGAACCCATTCCCTCATTTTAACTATAAATAGTGGAAAAATGATTAAAAGTTTAACATAAATAAATTTGATTGGGATTTCATGGTCACATCAGTCGTTTCGTCAAATATTAATGCAACAAACTGAGCCCCAGAAATCTTTTTAATTTCCCTGCTCGTACGGTAACTTCCGCAACTGCCGCGATAATAGGATTCTGGACGTCAGGATATGTTCCACAATACACGTTGTTGCTTTCAATGAGAGCCACACGTTCAGGATTATAATAACCCAAAAATATAAGAATTTTAATGTCGGCGAAAATATAAGAATTTCAATTTCAGCCTCGATAATGAAACTCGACAGTTTAATTATGTCCGCGAAACGCCAATCCCAGATTTCCTAAAAGACAAACCCATCTGATAATGAGCCAATATTCCTCTGTTCTTTTAACTTCGTCGTTGTGACGTTGTACGGACAACCGAAACTGTTCACTGAGACTGCATTCAATTCTTTGTTTCTAAATAATTTTAAATTGTTTTGGGATAGGATGTGAAAACCTGAAGTTTCATGGCGAGCTTGTGCTCTGTGAATATTGTGAAGATTCGAATCCTTCTTGGGTCCACACGAATTTCTCTTAAGAAAACAATAAACATGGTCAACAGAGTAATTTGCTGGTGTTTCTGCACCTACTTATCCACGGAACATTCTCGTATGTTCACGACATTATCGTATGAAATTCTTCTTCCCTTTCGAACGACACTCAGAATGAAGTTCTGTGTAGAATATTTGTAAGGGAAATTCGGAAGGGAAGCGCTTCCAACGTGTCCATGGACGCTACGCCCCTGGTAATGTAAGGTGCAACTTCCAATCTGTTGGGGCATCAGCCTCCATTGAGTTCATCAACGGTTATTTCGTAACAACGTTACAAATAACGCGAGAAAGTATGTGCTGTTGGAGATTCACCGCTTACCCTGCTGTATTTATTTATCGTTATCATCTGTGAATCAACTCAACTCGCCCTGCCCATCCAGCACGATCAGACGTCGTCTTCCATCAACTCAACTCGCCCTACCCATCCAGCACGATCAGACGTCGACTTCCATCCTTCCATCCAAACTCTAAGCTCCCGACCGATCTCCCGGTATGTATGGTGGTGTAATGCATGTAAGTGTATGTCTAAGTAAGGGGAGAATTAGGACAAGGAAGGGAAAGGAAAGATCGCGCGCGTTCCGCGGCCAATTTGTTAGGGTTCTACTCCGACATTCGCCTGGTATTGATCAGAGGAACCACGAAAAACTACCGATCAGAGCAGCGGCTGCTAGAATTCACTTCTGAATTACACCTAGTTGTCTAGCTACTGTCGAAAATTCTGCCACTATCAGGACTGGAACCTTAGGATCTCTGTCAGAGTAAATGTAGTGACATCAGTTGATTCTCTGAGCCACTTCTCCTAGTACACTGCAATCTATATGCATTGTGGATTCCATTAATCCAAAACTGGTAAAAAAGAAGAGTATAAAAACTTCTTAGAATGTTACTGATGATGATTCAAAAGTTGATCCATTATTATAGAATGAAGATAAAAATATATAAGGATTAACGGCGCAATGTAGATGGAGAATGTGTATTGATGAAAATGATTGTGACCTCATTGTTTCATTAAGAATATTATTAGGTGCCTTGCCATTAGAGTAATATTTTGTATCACAATTCACCCTGTTTTTTTCTTGAACATTCAGAAGTACTCATACTATCGCACCTGTGGGAGTAAACTCTCCACTGGCTCAAAAAAGTTTGTGGAACAAATTGTCACTGAAAGTGTAAAGGATTGTATGTCAAAATTTCACTTTCTTGAATGGTGCTAAATGTGGCTATTTATGATTTATGCCACAACAATGTCCAATTGTCGTGAGTCTATAGCTGGGGTGACGTGAGGTACAACCAAATGTATCTGAAGAGTCAAAGAAATGAATAGTTATTTTGTTCCCCTGGAAAATAACCTTTTTTGTCATTTTACGACTTTTTATGTCATCCTCAGTGACATTGTGCAAATGCACACATTTGCATATACACACATCCACATGTGTACATATATTCACTTTTGTATAACAGAAGTGGTAATCCATAAATTATGTAACACTTAAGTGTGGGGTTTGATGCAGCGTTAGGCCTCGACAACTTTTCAATGTTTTCTGAAACAATTCCTTTTATTCAATATTACATTAAAACATTAAAAGAATTAACAAATTAAATTTAAAAGAAATATTGATGTTATACAAAGTTTAAAAAAGTTATCCAGGTCTATTAACTGTTACAATAAATGTAATTATTTTTTCATCAATGGTTTCATCATTGATTGAATCTGTAAGACTATGAAGAAAATATTCAAAACTGATCTATAATCCTTTTAAATTGGTATGTAGTTGGTAAATTGTATTGTAATTCAACAAAGGAGGAGAGGGGTTATTCAAAATATTCCAAATTTGTATTATGTAATCTCTGGATGGCCCCTAAAATAATTCAGTGTATAGTTTCTGCCTCTTTCCTCTCTGGACTAAAATATTATGTAATTCTTAAACATACTATTTAATGTGCATGAACTAAACCTCATCCTTATGCTTTGTCAAATCTAATGTTCAATGAAATGAAATAAAAAAATCAATAATTTGGCATTGTATGTTATTTTGTTTGAATTTATTCTAATTTCTGGCCATGCAATGATCTAGGGTGGTTACAAAGATGGAGGAGGAGGGCACAATACTGACAGCCTTTCTTTGAAAATTTACAGGGAAGGAAATTTTAAAAGTTGGTTGTAAATATGGTTTGAAATAAAATGTACTTTGGGAAATCAATAAAGAGCCTGATCTTGCAAAAGAGTTCCATTATTTCCTATTAAAGTTTGAAAAAGTAATGAAAAAGGCGAAGTATAACCAATAGCCTTTACATTAGAACATCTTTGATATTCAAATTTTTCATAGAAAAAATATTATTGAAAAGGGTTTTTAGATATTTTATTACCAAATTGATGTGTTGATAAATTAATAAACACAAACAAATATAAAATAAAGTATTGTAAAATACTTATTAGTATAAATGAATTGAGAAACATTGCTTCCTTTAGATTTATAAAATGTTCATCCTTTCAAGTAGTTTTTGGAGCTGCCTTTGACAATGATACTTAGCATTTATTTAATAATCTCTCAATCTTGATTATATTGTATGACAATTTAAATAAAAAATAATATTAATAAGAGATCATTATTTTCAGACTGTTTAAAATAGTATAAGTAAAGAATTAATAAGCGAAAATTGATTTACTGCACTCAGAAAATCTTGTAAATTGCAATGAGAAACAGAATAAATAAAATGTGTCTTAAAGATCTATCTGCCATTATGAGTGAAATAAATGTTTTATTTCTGAAAGCAGATAATTGCCTTTTCAAGAAGTCTTGAGATTCTACAAATTTCTAATTGGATATGTCCTGTAGAAGTTTATCTTATTTAAGGGTGCAGAAGATTCCATTGGTCATCACGTTAAGCTCATAGTTGAACAGATTGAAAAACATGGAAACCAGTTTGGTGTGGTAAAGATAATTTTGCAAAGTCACCACATAAGAAGGGTAATATTATCCTTCTACATATGAACTAATTTTATATTTCCCTGATTGATTTTCTTTCTTGAATGATGTACAATTTACTTTTAGCGCTACTTCGGAGCATGGTTTTCAATGTATGGAGTCCCTCGTACATTACTTGAAAAAATCCAAGGAGATGCTGAAGATGTAATAGCTCATCAAATTGAAAACTTTAATAAGAAAATAGTTACAATAGCATCATACCTAGAAAAGCGAGATTCGGTCAGTAGATATCAGGAAAAAATAATTTAAAAATATAAAATAAGCAGTTGGTTATTCTCACTTTATGGATCAAGTTCAATATCTAACATATTGCTTTCAGCTTAATGAAAAGAGTATTGGAAGTTATTTGAGTCAAAAGACTCTTGCTTTATTACCAGAAGTGGGCCTATTAGACTTCTTATTGAAAATACAATCTCTTGAAACTCTGTATGATTTTCTTAAAACTTATCAGCAATTTCCACACTTAGTTATATATCAAGGTGGGTCAAATTACATTTTTTTTTCATGAAATTATAACAAAATATTATTTACTTGAAAATTTACTCATTTATTATAAACAGAAGGACTGTAAACATTTTTGTTTCAGATTATTGTTGGCCTCCAATAATGGAATTTGTACCTTATAATTTATATATAGAAATACCAGAAGTACCAAAGCTTGAAATACCACCATACAATCCAATAGAAGAGATAGAAGTTAAACGACGTGTTAGAGGATATTCAGTAACTGAAGGGAAAAAAGAAAAGAAGAGTATTTCAGTTAAAGAGAAGTCACTTTCAGAAGGTGTAGGGGAAAAGGCAGCAGGTGACACAAATGCACAGGAGGGTCCTGAACAATCTGGAACCCCAACAAGTCCAGGGGCAGCAAAAGAGCCAGAAGTAACAGTGTAAACATGCAGTGTTCTTGCCATTTAAAAAAATACATAATCTGAAAAGGTATATTCTTCTGTTTGTCTTGCTTTTGGAACATGCTAGATTTGATAAAGAGTTGTTAACAGCTGTTTCATATTCACGTTAATGAGCATTATTTTTATAACTATGTTTTATTTACATTGATATTTTATAGTATTAGTGGCATATTACGTTGTATATTTGTGTCAAAGACAAATTTAAGGGAGATCAATGCACTCCTCCCTGAGTCCACATATTTTTAAATTTTACTCAATTTATTGAAAACATTTTCTATATATTGATCACATAAAACCCAAATATTTCTATTAAGAATTATATTCTTTTGAAATTTTCAAGTTAAAATATGCAAAATTATTTGTAGGGCGAGGGTGTCAGCTTAAAATAGCCCTGTCCTCAGATATTTTGTGGGCATGCCTATGTTCAGTGAGTGTTAACACACTTTCTTATTTCTAATGAAACTAGAGGGAACCTGTGACAATTTAACAATGAGAACTGTCAGTAAAGTCAAGTATGCTATTGTCCCACACTGCAAATTTTGAAGTAAAAAACTTTGGAAGCTAACCACTCTTAAGTACTATCATTCTATTTTTGCATCTCCGCAGATAGTCTCTTCTTACTGGCAGAAAGATTGGATATTATGCAGCACAAAATCAATCAAGATTGTGAAAATAACTTCTCCAGTGCTCCAACCATTAGGTTCACAGCTCGAAAGGCTTCAGTGTTTTGTTTCTATCGCCCTTATTTGGAGGGAAAAAATGGTGCAAATGTGCATGATTTGAAATATTTTTAATGAAATTTCTTGAAGAGTAATCATGTTTTGATCTGATATAACCATAATGTAAGAAAATAGTAATGACAGAAAATATTTTTTGCTGCTTTCTGGTCATTTGAAAGAAATTGTTAATCAAATGTAATGTTTACATTTACATTTAATTAAATTTTTTTTAAATAATACATTTAATGTATTTGATATTGGAACAAATGTTATACAAATGTTTATAGAATAACCAATCGAATATTTAAGGCAGTGAGAAATAATGTGTCTCTCTTTAGCCCTCTTTCTAGCTTTCTCTCTAGCTCTCATTCTCTCTGTTACTCTTTTTCTCCCTTTCTCTCTCTCTTTTCCTCCATCCTGCTTTCTCTCTCTGTTTTACAATGTATAGAGGTAAGATTTCATTTCCTGACTACTCTTGGTAGTGTTGTATTGTCAACATCATTTCTCGATATCCTTGTAATGAGAATGGTCAAAATATTTGAGTCTCTCTTAAATCGATATGTACAATGTGAACGTGAAAATTAAGAAAACAGAAATGGACAATTTTGTTCCCTAGTTACAGTGTGTGTTACTGTGTTACCACAACAGTTACTGTGTGGTTCTGCAACAATATTTTTTGTAAAATCCTATGAAACGGAGAAAAGTAATTTAACAAACTAGAAAATGATAGAAAGAGTTCAATGCTAAAAGAAATAATTTATTTTAATACAGATCATTTATTTTAATAGCTTTTATTTTAGGGGTTGGGTACGTGTAAACAGTAGTGTTATTTTGTTGATAACGTGTGTGTCCTTTTCATTAAAACGTAACGCAACGAGGTAGCCTGGGTATCTGGAAATGCGGTAATGTGTATTTCCTCTCCATTTTCTATTATAAGGTTTACTAAATATTGTATAGCACTCATAATTCGTTATAGAATATTATGTTATTTTTATATTTAAAAATAAAATATATAATAAACAGTATTGCAGCATATCCAGTCAAAGCTCTTGCAGTTCATGCGCCCTAGTAAATTTCTGAATCTGGACTTGTTGACGCATGTCGGAAGTCAGGGAAAGGTGCGGGACGTACTCGTCCCCGGAGATCCATCCTGGAGGGGGGAGATGAAGAATATAGAAAACTGCTCGCGTTTCTTGGTACGATCCAGAATCTGCGTTCACCTGGTAATGCCAAGAGAGTGAAGATCCGGCGTTCTCCTAGGTTTGCGAATAGGGTAAAGAACTTGTTTTTGTCTGGAAGTGTAAATGAAGCGAAGTTACTGCGTTCGCCTGGACGTGTGAATAGGGCGAAGCTTTTCCCTCTGTAACTTATGAGGGAAAGCACGAAAACCACAAATCAAAGCAGTCGATCTACGAACTCGATCCCATCTGGTGCTATAAAGCCGTTAATATTTTTAACCCTTAAGCAATTGTCTGGTACCAGGTATGGATAGTTTCGTCATCTTTCGATACCAACACTCTCGTCACATTGCCTTAACGGTCGCAGCTAGCGATGCTGGTTGGGTAAAATCACGCTCATTATGACAAATCTAAAGAAATGTATTCATTTATTAACGTTGAAAATCAACTGCACTTAACATGTATTCATAATATTTTCAAATATCATCATGACATTAAAAAACAATTACATTTATTAATTGTACTTCTTGCCATCTTTGTTCTTATACGTATATTCTTCTGACTGCCTTATAGAAATGGGACTGACATAATCTTCAGAATTTGTTTAAATAACTTTCCTTTCTCATCTCGACATTATAATAACGGCAAAGTTTAGTCTGAGATCAAGCGCCCATGATTCGGCAGAGCGTATAGAATCTTCGTTGATGATACGAAGATTTGTCCAAGCAGCCGTAGAGATCATTAATTTTCAAGCAGTCCGTTGTGCTCATTGACCATCTTTGGCCCAACTTGGCATCTTTCTTCTTAGGTACAATAGTGGGCTTGCCTTTTTCTTTACTGTAAAAGTAAGAACTATTACAATGAATTGTTCTTATTACAAGATATGGTATTCTTAGCATAAATGTTTTAATGATTCCCTGAATGCAGTGTGGTCAGAACTAATTTTAATTAGTACGAGGGAAATAGTGACTTACGATGTGACATGATTTTTAACGGTTCTTTAGTTCTACTGTCCTATTTACATTTGTATAGTTTTTTTAGAGTTCTTAATTTTTAGTTTTACAACAACAAAAAAAAATTAATAACGCTTGAAAACAATAAAATGAAACCACGCGACTACCTTAATTTCACTACCTGTCTGCCACTGGTGGTCACACACGTGTATCATAAACATGAACATTCGAAGTGGATCGCGTTACACACTAACAATAACTACTAAGTGTAAACAAGAAGTCACACAGTTATAAATCGTTACTGATACGTTACAATAATAATATTAAAATAAAAAATTACAGTTATGAGATGCAGTTATCAGTTGAAATTTGAATACGATACAATAGCAAAGATTCAACACATATCGTTAGTACGAATCGAAGAACATAATCGTAGTAGAATTAATATGGATTTCAATTTCACTTGCATGAAACGACATTAAAGTCAGTTTCTCGTTTCTGTAATAAATATAAATCGGTTATTAGCAAAGATTACGGTAAGCCTAAAAGAAGTGTATTATTTAATGCAAATATGACGAAGTACGTAGCAGATACACCGACAGAAAATGGAAGAGTGAGGATGAACCCCTCTGTCCCGCAGTTTCAGCGCCACTGTTCGAAAGGTTTGAAATGCTGTGCACATAGAGCGCAGAAAACTGTTACAAACTTCTCATGCTATAATGAAACAGTTTAGAAAGTATTATGAGAAAATAATCTTTGAAAGTCATTACACGTGAGAGAATACACGATATGATAGCAAAATGTATGGTAATAAAATGATTAAAACTTCTAGAAATAGTGAAATTAAAACTCAATACAGCCATAAGCTTTTTAAAGGGGCAGTATTTGTACCTGAAGTAGTATTTTCCATAATGCATGATGCTGTCGTAGTCATATTCAAATGAATAGGTCGTATTTTCCAGACTCTGCTTGTCAAAATTTACCTCCAAACCTGTAATATGATGTTTTTTAATTAAAATAATGTATATACAAACTTATAAATAGTAAAGCAAACATAATTACTGTTTTCTTTACAAAACAATTAAAATTAAAAAAAATGCACATCTTATTAAAGATATTTAGTTTCTTGATAATATTTATTCCTACATAAAATAAATCTTTTATTATGAGAAAACTCAGACCAAATAAAAGGGCTCCAAATATAAGTAGTAATCGTTCTGGCATTAGTGTATTTTGTGGGATAAGAACTAGTTAATTACCAAAAAGGATTTTTGGTAACACTGTTCTGTTTTATACACTTAAGGCAACTAAATAGAGGAACGAGAAGCCACTCTTAACGACCAGCTTCCGTTATAGTAATTTGCGTCATAGAACGGAAAATGTTACATTACGCCTGATGTTTCCAGCCGAGGCGGCTTTAGGACCCGAGACTGGAATTTCTAACGAGTATTGTGACATTTACGCCCGCATGTCGTAACAAGTTTTATTTCATATTCTGTCGTATTTCCTCATTTCTATTTTAATTTTATATTACAATATTTCTCGATGAGTGTATTGAGATAAATAATTAAAATTTATTTATTTATTTATTTATTTATTTATTTATTTATTTATTTATTTATTTATTTATTTATGTATTTGTCAAAAACAGTTGAAAACTGTATGTGACGTGCTAAGGGGAGAAGTTAATTTGAGAAGTTACATTTATGACTCACGATGAATACGATGAGTATATTGCAATATTTCAATTGAACAATTAATATTTCAGAAATCAGAAAAAAGGATAAAAATAATATGAAAAAAAAATTTCTGAATAAATACAAATAATATTAACAAGGTTAATGAGAATGTAATATTGGCTTACTTATCAAACTTAGTAAGTAGTTTCTGTTACAGCTATACGACATTGCAATTTATTTTGTTACTAATAATCGTATATTTACAATAGTCCAAAAAGGTGAATTCCGCTTCCTAATGGTCAAATATTCCATGATTAAACCCATGATATTGGTTCAATGTAATATGCACCTTTCAAAGTTTTATAAACTGAGAGAGTTTCTTACGAAAAAGTCGGTTGGATGTCAAGTGATAATAGAAAACACAAGAGACGAAGTGAAAACTGAGTGCACAATTAATATGATTATAAATATATAGGCGTACCATGTAAACATTGTTTATTTGTATTTGAGAATGAAAAAAATACGTTCTCTAACTTCGTCATCATATGATACTGTAACCTACACTTTTCGTGAATGATTGAAAATTGAACAGTAATGAAAAGTGTTGGGCGATATACGGCCGCTATCCCAAATTATGGACTTGACAGTTTATTTTCTGTACATCGGACTAATGAGGTTAACAGCCGTTACCTTCTTTTGATTGATCATTGGTAAAATTGTAGTGAATCATTTTGCGATTTGACGTGTAAAGAATATTACTCATCCTTGTTTGTGTTTGATGGTTCTCTCACAATTTTATATCATTAACTAAATTATAGAACGTATTAGTTGTGTATGTTGATTGTAGAACAAATGCTCATCTTAACTCCATATTTTTGAATTATTTTTTTAATAATTTGGATTAATTAAATTGTTTCGTAATGCTAATCCTATTGGTCAATGACATAAGAATATCTACGAGGCCTAGCGCCAGCTTGAGGCTAGGAGCGAACGTGATGCCAACAGCTGAAAAAATCATAAATATACACACGTATTGCTATGACTTTGTGTAACTACGTACGATGACTGTATGCTTGTGTACTGCTGTGACTGTGTTACGAGTATTTATGCTACGAGCGAAGATCTTCACGATCAGATGGCAGTGGCGAATTTGTTGTTGTTGTTGTGGTGGTGTGGTGGCGTGGTTGGTGGTGGTGTGGTGGTGTATGTGGTGTGGGGGTGGGGGTGGGTGGGGAGGGGTGGTGTGTGGAAGGTGGAAGGTGGTGGAGGTGGGTGTGGAGGTGGAGGTGTTTGGTGGAGGTGGTGGAGGAGGTGGTGTTGGTGGAGGAGGTGGTGGAGTGGTGGTTGAGAGGAGTGGCTTGGTGGTGGAGGTGGTGGTGGGGAGATGGTGGAGAGGTTGTGGTGTTGGAGGTGGAGGTGGTGGTGGAAGGGTGGTGGTGAAGGTGGTGAGTGAAGGTTGGTGCGTGGGAGGATCTGGTGGTGGAAGGATGGATGGTGGTGTGGAGGTTGGAGGTTGGGTGCAGTGAGGTGGTGGAGGTGGATGGTGGGTGAGGATGGAGGGTGGTGGTGGTGGGTGGTGGGTGGTGTGGTGAGGTGGTGGGTGGAGCGTGGTGGTGGAGGAGTGGTGGAGTGGTGGTGAGGTGGTAGTGGTGTCAGTTGGTAGGGTAGTGGTGAGTGAAGTAGTGAGGGTGGTGGGGCAATATAGGTGGCGAAGAGTGGAGGTTGATACATAACCTTTTAATGTCTTCGAAACGTTTCCTTTCACGAGCAGATTCTCGGCGATCCTTTTACGTTCGTGGGATCATTGTCGAATTTTGGACCCACAAAATGAAGACGAAATAGTTTGCCAGATTCAATGCAGAGTCAGAACAAAATTCCTTCCTAGGTGTTGTAGCAATACGAACCTGGGAGCACATTTTCGTAGAGCACGTCGACAAACTCGTCGCGGTCGGCGCGGGACTGCTCGTGGAAGATGCCGAGCGCGTGGAGGATCTCGTGGATGGCGCGGCCCTCGCCACCCAAGCAGTTGGGGCCGCGCTCGTCCGGGGGCTGCAGGGAGAGCAGCTGGGGACCGCCGAACTTGCCGACGAATGACCAGCACCTGGCGACAGGGCGGGGATGAACAGGCTGGCGAAGACGATTCAAGGAAGTAGCGATTCCGCAGCCAAGTAATGCCATACTGCCCATATTAAATTGACTACTGTTGTTTCTTGTACCAAACTACTTTCTCGCATTATTTCTAAATTTTTAATTTTCGAAAATTCAGAGAGTCCAACAAAAATAAGACGCATCATTCTTTTCAGCGTTTCTTCTTGTATCCTTGGAAAAAATGAAGAAAAAAATTGGAACGTGTTTTGAGAAGATTTTTTTGGAACTTTCATAAATTCCAGATACAAATTACACGAAATCTACTACTATTTTAAGGAATTCTATACGACGCTTTTTAAAGAGCTAAGTTTTTACAAAATATTTTTTCTGAGACAAAAATCTCAATCTTTAATTTTGTAGTTTTAAAATGTTAATTTTTTTGCAATTTTCGAAAATACAGAGAGTTCTCCCTTCTCTCAAAAATTGGAGTTGCACCGTATTTTTTACTGATCCTTAATACATACGAGGAGAAAATTTAAAGTTGAAAATTGGAGATTTTTGAGAAAAAAGTCATAGAAAATTTCACGCAAAATTACACGAAAACTAATGTCTTCAAAGAACAGATTTCATAAAGGAAAAAAATCTCAATCTTCAATATAGTCACAGCATACGTATTTATTCAGTAAAATAGCTCAACCCGTTTTTGGCTTGTTAGGAATGCTCGCGCATACAGATAACGATTCTGGTGAAGATAAAGTAAACTACGGATAACTGCTGCGTGTCGTTTGTGAAATTGCGTTTTTTAAGAGCTGGTTGAAGACGTCAAAGACATTTCATGTTATTTCTTGAACTCATGGAGTTATACGTCTAGGATTTCAAGGGAAAGTCATTCAATGACAGGTGAAGTTACATCAAACCAACGTTTTAACCTTACATTTGACACCAATCGGATCATAATTGATATGCACCAAGAAAATTCTTATACTTTTCTAGTTAACACATTAATAACAATTTGTGTGTCGAAAGAGGTGCATTGTTTTGCAATTAAATAGAGCAGTTATAAAGGAAAGAAGCCTTAGTTATGTTGTTTTACTTTCTCGACTTACGAATTTTTCGTAAGAAGAGAAAGTTATGTTATCGTGCGCCAGAAAACGCCGAAATTTCTCCAGAAAAAACTTATTGTTAACTAACTTATCTGGTAAAAAGTGAATAAATCCTATTGCCAGATTGAAAAAACGTCCTCTAACTCGTGGTGTTGCCCAAATCCCTGTTTTGTTGGTACCGAAAAATCTTTGGCGGCAAAACGTCCGTCTATTTGGCCGTGTGTGTCAACGCTAGCACCTAACCGTTCAACCGAATTCCTTCAAAATTCATGTTCCTCTATCGATCTAAAAGGACAGGAGGCTTTGGCAGTTTCTAAAGAATATTTTGATTGTTGTAGGTTTTGTTACATGAATCGAGCATTTTCATTTTTATCGCTTTGCTCGAGTTCGATCCAGGCGGCGATTCTGTGGCGTAGTGGTATGAGTGCAGGCACGTTAACTCTGAGGATCTGAGTACGAGCTTCGAAGCAGAAAAATATTATGTGGCTTGAAAAAACCTTTGCTGTTTATGTCGTAGTATAATGTTGCGTAGCATTTGGAAATAATGAGAGAAAGTATGTGCTCCGGCAGTACCACTTTTTTTAGTTTTCTCTAATAGATCTAGGAAGAAAAGACGGAAATTTGTTGTTCCCTCCTTACATAAATGATATTACGTCCCAGATAACATTATTTACAACTTGATTACATTTCTAGATATTTTCATGAACAGCATAGAAATACTTGTTCTGCCTCATGATTCTACTATTCACTTTCAATGGATTAGATTTAAATCATTTTTTTCCTTGAAAATTGTTTAAAACTTCTACTTCGCATGTTGTTTTAGATATATGCATAAAGAAATTAAATTATATCTAAAAAAACATTTACGTTTTGGTTAGATTTACCACAACGATGCTGTATTACGAATTGTAAGGCGTCGTAATTCCTTGATCGCCGCGCGGATCGCTAGAGTCTGTGACCAACGCGTCGTCAAAGGGCATTTAACACGGAGCTGCGCTACAATATGTATACTGTAATATAGTTGTAGGAAGACGCCCCCAAAAATTGCTTTCTTTAAATTTGTGATTTTAGCTAAGAAAATACCACTTTTTCACTCCCAGGGTACCCCAAGACGTAATCTGAAATAACGAAATCGATTTTCCGCAGCATTATATTACTTTATTTTCTACTACGTATATACATACGTATGTAAGGACGTAAATAGTATGTATTATTAGTTTTATTGATATCTCAAAATATCGTAACTATTTTAATTATTAGTTGTCATTTTCTGCAGTAACTGAAAGAGAGAATTTAGAAAGTATGTAATTAATGGAGTTAACAGATAGAAAGATACTTAAAATATTATTGATTCATACCCTGCCGGCTTTTTGATAGGCCAAATTAGGAGGAAGTCTTTCGCTTTCCCATCCCAGGGGACAAAGCGAATGCAGGTCATAAACTTTAATGTTGTGATTGCTTGAAAGATGGTGGCGTAGTCCGCAGGATCTGTAACAAACGCTCGGTTTAAATGCTATTTAAAGAACTTAGAAATACTTATGTATTATGCTTTTACATTATACTATAGCTGGACCACTTAGAAAAAACTTTGGATTACGCCTACGCGAGAAGTGGCGGAGGGGAAGGTTCCCTCTCTTAAAGATTCAACTTCCCCGCCTTGAGGAGCCACCGTCGCCGCTTACATCTCGGCCTGGGCGGTCGGAGAGAAGACAGCCTGGCTTGCCGAACGTCCCGAATCCTAGAGTGTTGAAGCGTGAGAACTAAGTTGCGAGAGCGAATCAGTTATCGGTGCAGACAATCCTAGAGTTCAACTGAGATCCTCTTCGGGATCAATGGGGGATGGCTTAGCCACGCCTTCATAAGTAAGCGACGTCATAATGTATTTTTTCTACGTGGTCGAGCTATAGTTTAATGTGGCGTCGCCGACGCAGTAAACGGTTTTAAAAGTATTTTCTTGTGCTGAATTTCTTTTCATGCCTAGCTTTGTTCAAATATGTTCTTACAGTATCTGGCATTGAACGTATCAATGAATCGTAGTAGCTGTGAATGCTATACCCCCGTTCAAAAATTCCCAACCTCCAATGACCTTTCATAATATCTCCATACAGGATATGAACTGGCAATTTTGCAATTTCAAAATTATAATCGCCGTGGAATATTTTTTCCCGGAAGGAATGAAATCAACAGATAGCTGATTGCCATCCCATGAAATGACTGCCTTGAAGCCCTAGACTTCGTGCTCAATCTAGCTGTTTGGTGCATATTCGCACATAAGAGAAAATTAGCATCTTCTGTACAAGGATTTTAGTCTCAATTAAAATACACTAATTATTTTCTAAAGACTGATAATTCAACAAGGGTCACACTTATTTATTAGACATATTTTATTTGTTAGACAACCAATTTTATTGCTGAAAACTGCAATTAACGCGCCGTTTTGAAATTTAAAAAGGATAATATGGCAAAGTACAGTTACTTCTATAATGAATAAAACTGTTTATCAGGAATTTCTCTGTCTAATTGTAAAGACATATTCTGTGATATTACAAAACACACTTTTGTATCTTATGTTAATGATTATTAACTTTGTCAGGAGTTTCGTGGATCACTATATGCTTGCATCTTCTGTTTAATACCACTTTAATTTTATTTTGACTCAAGAAACTCAGTTCTGTACACATTTAAATGTGAATTCAGATTGTGTAAAGAGAGGGGTGAGCCTCAACTTTTTCTAACTTCATTTTCACCCTTGGCCTTAAGATGTCATATTTACCTCTAATGAACAAATCAGATGTTTTGACTCACCATAAAGAGGGCTAATAACATACGGCACCGTAGCGTTATCCCAAAGCTTCTCAGGAAATACATCCCAACGCAGACCAACGCGCCAATATTCATACATCTGCAAAGGATAAAAACTCCATAACAAGGAACAGTATTCAATTTTGGATTGTTAATTATGGTTAAGCTTTATACAAACACTGATTTTTAATTTCGCGAATTATATTGATGGTTTCGCGCCAGTCCTGTGGATTCTTGTAAAGAAGAAACATATTACAAAGTAATCGTCGTTATGTAAATAGTATGCTTTATTATGCCAATATATATTCAACTCAGATATATTTTAGTGAGTGTTTTCCCATTATAAGTTATTTGTGCAACTTTACCACAAAAATAAGAAAAAAAATGCAAAAAATCCGTTTTTTGACTTTTGAATTTACAATTAGAACCTTTGATATATTCTCTTCATGTTGAAACCCGTTTTATTATGCGATCTTTCGTTTTGTTTTTAATTGGATACCTATGTAGCATTACGTTATCGGAACCACGATCCCTTTTTCGAAAGGGGACGTTGTTCCCCTAAAAAAAGGAAAGCAAAGCCAGAAACAGTCAACGCCAGAAAATAAAAATAGAAGAAGATATTTAAGAGGAAGAAAGAAAGTAAGTGACGATATAGATATAGAAAAAGAAGGCATAACCTGTAACCCTGGAGCTTTCTAGAGCATTACAAACTTCAAAGCCATTCCCCAAAAGCAGACGTTTTGGCTCCCATTGGAAACCTGAAATATCATATCTCCGGTTCTACGTAAGATAACCCTCTGATTCTTTTTTTTGTTATAATTCATAAATATATAGCTAGTGCATGAACCAATTACTTCAGTAAAAAAAAATAATTTTCTGACCCAAAAATGTTTAAAATATGTAAATACTAATAGATGGTACAAATATTGTTTTGGTTCAGGCACAAGTTCAAATCATATGTTATCACGAGAAAAAATAAATGAAGAAATAGAGATAGTAGTTTTAAAGTTATGATGCCACACCTCAGGGCGTATTTCTGTACGCAAAATTACGTTATCTCCTAACAAAAATGTTTTTGTTTTCATTATAGATATATTCAATAAATGTAGGAAAAATATTAAACAATATTAAAATTTTTTGCTTGTTTGTGGTATAATACATCTTAAAATTAAAAATTAACAGAGGTCAAAATGTTAGATAATTTAATAAATTCAATAAATAATAAATACATTTAATGAATGTCCTTGAAATTTATGTTGGACCCTGCTAGAGAGCAAGGAAGTTTTCTTTTGCTGAGAGCACAACGCAGCGAGGCGCGGTGCAGTGCAGTACCTCGAGCCTGGGTTCATTCTGGAGTTCGGACCAGCACTGTGCAAGTTTTGAAAGGCGAGGGGCGAGCGGGGCGCAGAGGGGAGCAGAGAGCTGTTTGCTTCAACACACACACAATGTCACAAGAGAACGGCTATGTGCAAATCTAATAGGGACCCATAAGGATTCGGCGTTCTCTATCCCTTCCAATAATGCGAAACGTTTCTTCCGCGTTTACTAAAGTAGAGTGCAACAATCCCAAGTAACAGGGTCTCAAACAATCCAAATAAAATAATTTATTCACTTTAAAAGGAGGTCTGGAGTGTTATGTCTTTCTCAAATTAAAAAAAAAAATGTTTCACTGCAGTTATATTTGTGTAAAGAAGTCGTGCATTGCGTCAGCAGTAAGATGAACTGTGCACAATTTTCTGAAGAAATTTTGCAAATGTCAGTGCGGGAGAAGAAGAAAAGATTAAAGAATTTGGCAGAACATGAACTCCACTAAAATTCCAATAAATGTACGTAAAAAACAACAACAGAAGGTAAGTTGCCGAATATTATAAATTACTTAACAGATTGCAGTAGACTAGATGTAGATAGTTAATTTATAGACTTTGTGATCCAACGTCCAAAATGGAGTTATGGTGTGGTCGTGTTTTTCATGGAAGAGACTTGCACCCCTTGTTTTGTGTGACACTATCACGGCACAGGCCTACGTTGATATTTTAAACACCTTCTTGCTTCCCACTTTTGAAGAGTAACTCAGGGATGGCAATTCCATCTTTCTACACGATCGAGCACCTGTTCATATTGCACGGCCTGCGGCGGAGTGGTTACCCGACAATACCATCTCTGTAATGGATTGGCTTGCTAAGGGTCCTGACTTGAATCCTATCGAACACCTTTGGGATGGTTTGGAATGTCGACTTCGTGTCAGGCTTCACCGTCCTACATCACCGCCTCTACTCAGTGCAGTACTCCTAGAAGAATGGGCTGTCATTCCCCAACGAACCTTCCAGCACCCAATTGAAAGTATGCCTGGCAGGAGAGGGAAGCTGTCATCAAGGCTAAGGGTGGACAAACGCCCTATTGAATTCCAGTATTTTCGATGGAGGAGCCACGACAAGTAGTAAGTTCATTTTTCTGCCGCGTGTCCGGTACTTGCAATTACGGAAGCTTGACTCCGCCACTGTCGCTGACTCGATTGCCCAGGGACTTCCCAGTCAACAATGTCGGGAGGCTCCGGGCGTTGGGCGGAGGCGGGTAGGGGTGGAAGCTCACCTCGTTGGTGATGGCCATGTCGCCCTGGAAGAGCGCGGGCCGCACCTCCGGGTCGTCGTCGCCCAGCGCCTCCGCCGCCGCCTCCGCCAGCTGCCGCATCTCTGCAACGCCAGACGCACCTTGTGGAGCCCTCGCGGAGGGCAGCGCTCGCGAGCAGCGCGGCGGGGGAGCACAGGCGTCGCCGCGCAGCTAGAGAGGAGGTCCTCCAGGAAGAGACCACTTTGACAGGTCGGGAAACAAGTGAACCTCATGCAGGGCGACGGAATTGCAAGGACTAGAGACGAAGCCATTTACAAAAGTAAACAAACACGCACAGACAAAATGCTTGTATGGACGTAACTTGCAGTTATATTGGCAGCAGTGGGCAAGCAGTAGCTATCAAAGCCGTCCATTCTTATAATAATCTCTCTACATTTGAATGCGCCTGGAAAAACTAGTGCTGTACCATCTGGGTAAAGCCACCAGAATCGGGGGTTTTGTTCAAGGTTTATTGACCCATTGAACAAATTTTAATATGGCCCATTGGTGGATTTTTGAGCACTTAAATGTGTTTTTTTCTCCTTCTGGACGACATTCACAGTTTTTATGACAAATAAAAATAAATACATTCACCTTTGGTACATGATCTTATGTTAAAGTAGTGAAATAAGCAATGTTCTTGACAGAACTAACAGGAAACAGTAATTAGATATACGCTGTTTAAACCTATGCGAAATCCACAAACGATTGACAGAAATGTGGAGCTGAATTTGAGGGACATCTCAAATTGAAAAATACTAAATGAAAATGCATTTTGGTAATCAGGACACGATGCTAACTTGTTTTCATTAATTACCATCTCCCAAATAAATCAACTAAAATAAAATAACACTTGTTGATAACAATTGTTTCCAACACTATATCTTATCTTTTTGAATGTAGAAATAATTGGTTTACTTTGTTTCAACTTTTCATTTTAACGACGCTATTAAAACAAAATCACTGATAAATAGATAAAAGGTTTATTTTATGTCCCATGACCTTTGGTTTATTGGCGATCACAGAATCACTAGCGACTTAAAGGCTCTAACAAATTACCAGCGAATCACAGAATTCGAACGCTACAATTATTAAATATCATTATTATTAAATGTCATCGCGAGTGGCATTGGTCACGTCCAGTTCCGCGTTGCTCTAGTAGACAGAGACGCGTATAGGCAACGGATTCAGAGAGGAGGACATTGTTCCTCGGCATGTTTCAAAAATGAAACCATGAATACAGCAACGCTCAAATTAAGCCTTAAAATATTCGTCGCGAGTTAAAAGATTCGTCGAGGAAACGTCGTCGAGGACGTACCTTACGAGAATATAATCCCATCAAGTCTTAATCGACTCTTTTATAGACTCATATTTTCACGCGGAGCATACAACATAATAGACAAGTTACATACTAAATGTTTTCTGAGTAACTATACTTAAAATGCGTTTTCAAAACACAGCAACAAATTTCAATTCCTATGAATGCATAAAAATGACGAAATATAAACATTTGTTTTTGCTATTGTATATATTACTTCTTGAAAACACTACTAATTAGTAGTAGTTGTATTAGAAGTTCATAGATCGTAAGCGTTAATCTAACTGGATATACCTATACCTAGTAGTAGAATGCAAGACTTCTTCATGGCTTTACTACTATACCTATGTATTCTTCTAAGGCCATACTACGAAGTACTTACTTGCAAAATACCATTTTATTAGAAGTGTTAGTTAATATAACTGACGAGTCAATTAATAATTCTGACACAATTGAAAATTATTCACACATTCTCTTTACAAATAATAACTAAATGAAATGCTTTCAGCGGAGGAAAGAGAAAATATGCATAATGCTTAGTGTTTTTTGTGAAAATTGCCGACACATAGATCCATCCTCAAAGAATTTTTCACTAACGTTCCACTCAGCTCCCCCTGTCGTCGCGGCGACTCCTAGCGAGCACCATTCCAACTACTTGGAAGGCCTCACGATTGTGACTATCGAAAAGGCTTAGAAGAAAGGCGAGAGAGGCTTGGGCTTGCGGCTGCAGAATGTGCATGGTTAAGATTCAGAAACATGCTCTTTCTTGCGCTGAGTCATACCATCAAAAGTTTCCTCTTCTGGCCGCAAGAGCGCTGTGGGATATGGACGACTAACACACGAGAGAAAAGGCTGGCAGTTCCTCAGAAATATTAAATTGTTTTTATTTTCACAAAAGCATGTATAGTTTAAAATTTGATCATCATAGCTATTAACTACAAAATATCCAATTTCTTTATACTCCAAAGCAAATAAGAAATATGATATTTGGCAATTGCATTCAATAGAAGGAAACATGTGAAGAGGACCTTCCTCCCTTTCCTCTCCATGAAAACCGCCATCTTGACGTAAACAATACGCAGTCGTACAAATGTGAATAAAAAGAACTGTAGAAATCATTTGTAATAGATAATTTAGAGTTCTTAAGAATTTTTTATTGAAGTTGGGATGTTTGAAAATTTTTCAAATTGTTTCCAGTGGGGTGGACAAGTTGTGAAGTAGAAAAATCCTAAATTATTAGAACGAATATTTGAAATGGCCGCTTTCAAAAAATAAAAATGCATCTGGCGCTTATGATGCGACTTTGTGATACGATTCAAAGCAAAACATGAAGCTACAGAGTATCAAGTGTTGCAAGTTAATGTGTACTAAACAACATAAGAGTGTGAGTGTAACAAGTGAAAGATTTGAGGACGAGAAACAATTGTGGTTCCGCCCGAGTGTAAAGATATAAAACAGAAACGTTGTGGAATGGAGAACTGATCGATGATTGCAGGACATAATTATGGTTGCGATTTAAAACTTTGTTGTAATTCAAACAGGTTATTATCTACGTATATTGATATGAAATAGTAGTGAACTAAGTTGATTTAGTTATGTGTGTCCAAATTCTCATTGTTTCTCATTTTCTTGTGTTTTGATTTTGAGGTTAATAGTTTTGTGAATTTGTTGACTGTAATATTTTCAAAAACAGTGAAGATGAGAGTAAACCCCCCGAGCAAGTAACGGCCGTTGGATTTTTGTTCATTGCACACAGTAAGCTGATCTTGTAACACTCATTGTTGTGCAATATTTGTATCATGTCATTTAAAACGAAGTAGACGAATATTACGTTTACACACCAGCTATATTATATATATCATCAATATGGACTTGTCTATGAATATCATTAATAAATGCTTACATCTATATCAGTTATGTAATTATTTTTTATAAAAACACATTTGAATACATTTCGTGTGTCCTTGTTGAAGAACTAGTAGGGCTACAAATTTACCGCACCGTACATTTGGCGATCAGCCACACCCGTGTTGAGAATCCGCACGCCGCCAGCGAGCACTCACCGTCGGGGACGGGCGGATGCACCACGTTGGGCACGGTGGGCAGGCGCGGCAGCGCGGCGGGCGCGCGGGCGGGCCACGCCGCCGCCGCGGCCACCAGCCCCAGCAGCAGCAGCAGCAGCGAGGGCAGCGCGGGCAGGGAGGCCGCAGCGTGGCGCATCGCGGGTCTCAAGGCGCTCCGCCGTGCGACCATCCGTCCGACCGGGCCGCGCGTCCGCCGCCGTCTGCCGGCGCCTCCGCCTCCTCCTCCTCCTTCGCGGCGCGGCCCGGCGCACGGTTGCAGGTGCGTGCCCGGCCCTCCCCTCCCGGCCGCCGCGGTGGCGACGACCTGGGGCGCCGCGCAGCACCGGTCCCTTGCCAACGTGCGTTTAATGACGGCCGTAAAATTGGAGCCGATGATCAGGAGCGGACGCGAATACCTGTTGCGAGGCGGCACCCCTCCCGTTACCTTTTGGGCCGCGTCGTTTGTATGGAAATGGATGGGCATAAATAAACGACTTCTGATTGATCGATACAGACCAGCGAATAAAAAGAATTAGATTTATGCGATGTAAACAAGAACCTGGGGTTCGTTGACCGCTCTATTGTTTCCGGTATCCCTGCGCTCGCTGTTTTGGCAGCAGGATGAATCGGAAAGACCGACCGCATTTCTAGACAAGCAGCTTAGGAGTGGATATTCGAAGAGGAGGTCAAGGTTAACTATGAAAAAGTAACTATTCATAAATTTTACATTTTTAACTCAATAGCTTCATTTATGAGAGAAGTACGGTTCTCCGTGGTAGCAACAACACGCCAGAACAAGATCACGGTAAGCACCGAAGTATAAAGAGTAGATATATTTGGTTCCTTCTCAATCCTTAATTGGCGCAATTTTTTTAAAATTTGTAAAATAAGTATTCAAAACTTTAAAATGTAATGATTTCAATCATATCTTAGTAAACATTTTAGTCACTCTTTTTCAGAAAGTGAACTTAAAATTCACATTATTTCTTGTTACAATTAATATGGACAAATTTCGAAAGTAAATACAATATATAGAAATTCATTCTAGTTGTTGGTACAAAAACTGAAATGTCTGTTATTCATTCATCACATTTTCCCCTTGAGTAGAATTAAGCTATTTGTTTTTAAATACCATAGTACTCAGCAGGCAGTCCTTTCCATTCAATCCTTTGCCTCTTTTCAGGAAAGCCACTCCTTAGATTCCTGCTCTAGACATTTACTCAACCAGCCAACACATAGTAGAGGATGATTAACATTTCTTGTGTTGACAGCCAGGAATTTAGAAGGAGCTCTTTTTTAATCGAGATGCACGAAATATTTAAAAGTACATGAACTAATACCACATAAAATTCTCGAATATAGCCTATTTTTTCCAGCTCACTCATGTAAGTTTTGGTTTTGCTATTATCACCAATATTCCGATTCGATACTTTTATAATTCCTTATTCAGAAAAAGTGGCTTGTGTTCAATGTGAGATTGATAACGGTTCCAAGTGATCGAATTTCGAATTTCATTTGGAAGCGTTTTGTGTACAATACTTTTTACAATAAATTAGCTAGGGAGCTGAGGCACGTGATTGGTAGAGATGTTTTAATGAGAAGCTGTAAATTATCTTGTTTCACAATAGCCTTGTTTTTAGTATCCCACTAAAAGGCAAACAAATGATAAAAACTCTAAGAAAGAAAGACAAATTTTACAA